GAGCTCTTCCCTGGTAGCTCAGCTGCTAAAGAACCCGCCTGCAATGCAGGAGACCCCGGTTCGATTCCTGGGTTGGGAAGACCCGCTGGAGAAGGGATAGGCTACCCACTCCAGTATTCCTGGGCTTCCCTGTGGCTCAGCTGGTCAAGAATCCATCTGCAATGTGGGAGACTGGGGTTCAATCCCTGGGTTGGGAAGAGCCCCTGGAGAAGAGTTTCCTGGAGAACAGCTGCCCACTCCAGTATTCTGGCCTGGAGAATTCCATGGACTGTACAGTCCTTGTGGTGGCAAAGAGTCAGACACGATTGAGCAACTTTCACTTTCACTTTTTCATTAACTTATTAAATCCTTAGAGTGACCCTATGAGGTAGGCACCACTTTTACAGAAAAGGAAACTAAAGCTGAGTCACACACAGAAATTACTTACCTTTCCTGCCAAAAGTCATTTACGTTAGGGAGTGTTTGAGGATTCAAATGCCTGTCTGTTGATGGTGGTAGAAGTGGAGTACAATTAGCTTGGATTGAAAAAGAGATGATAGTGGAGTGAGAGACAGAAGTGTCAACAAATAAATAATGCAAATTTTATTCTTAGGGGCAAAATGATACTGAGAAAAGCAAATGTACTGTTGAGCATTTAAAGAGGATGGGGGAGGAGCTCTTGAATTTTTTTTATTTTTAGTAGCCACTGACCAGCGATATGGAGTGAAAAATGTGCCAGTTGGAAATGAAGTGAGGTTAGAAATAGACTATGTATTTCTTTACCTTTTAGATGAGTTGGTTGATTAGAGCCCAATTTATGAAGAAAAAAGAAAAAATTCAATGTTCTTGAAGGTCCTTTGCACCGTACAAATTCCCTTTTCGAGCGAAGAGTTTGTTTAGAATTTGAGATTGTAGGAGCAAAGTGGAAAACCGAGAAAAGAGGTTAAAGCTGCGTTCAGTGCAGGTTGAAAGCAAAGGCAGAGTGTCCATCCAGCAGGAAATTTTGTCCATGAATACACTTATTGATGCCTATCAAGCTACTCAGGAAATAGGATGGGTTGGATTAGAGAGATAATAAAATAAGTAATGTTGAGATTTTCCCCCTCTAATTACCTTAGAAAGGAAGTAGCTGTTGCAAGTTAAAGGTTAACTGAGTCACTGAACAACATAATTTTTTTTAATTATTGACTTTAGACATTGAGCACTCTAAATATATTAATAGTAACAAATGATGTTTCGCATAACATCTCACTGTTAGAGTCATGTAGAATCTTAAAGCTTCTAGGTACTTTGAAAAGTCTAGTCTCACCTCTTAATTTGAACAGAAGAAAAACAAGACCTGAAGATCTTCAAACTTAGCGGTAGGTGCTAATTGAATAAACCAACAAGTAAGTTCTCGAATCTCACCTTTGCATGGCCTATCTGGTCATTTTTCCACCATACCATCTCTCTGAATATAAGTGATGTTTGCAAATATTCCCGGAAAGCAATTATCAGTGTAGAATTTAAGAACATAGAATGTTTATACCAATTCAATATCTAATAGACCTTCTAAAGATAGGCATATAACTTAAATGCTTATTATGTTTTCAAGAAGAAACAAAACTGGATATTAATACGAATTATCCATTCTGTATGTGGAATAAAAAGAGCATTTAATGTGATTGCTACAACTTGTATTCGCATAGGACAATCTTCTCTAAGTGTCTTTAAGAGTTACCTACTATCTGTTTTAAAAGAGAGGGAAAAGCAGTGTTTTTAAAGACTAGAATGAAGGCAATATCTTTGCTTATTTTCCATTAGAAAATTTCTAATGGAATCAGTGAAGTAGGTAGCCAGAAGCAGGGTTAGATGTATATCGTTTAGGGATGGTTTTGTTTATAATTTCAGTGTCTATAGGTGGTCAGTGCCATGGGCTCATCTTCAGCAGCTCTTGAGAAGTCTCCATGAAGACAGACTGTAACATGCAGTGTGTAACAGACAGGATAACAGGTTAGGGAGAAGCTTCTTAGTACTGTCTGCATGCACAGATATAAAGATAGATGAGGTGTTGACAGAGGAGCAAAAGAATTCCCACAGAAAGCCTGGAGAAAAGGTTCAGAGGTAGCCCGGGTAAGACATCAGACCTTAGAATAATATTCAGAAACGTTGAATGTAGCAAAAAGTAGCACTAAGGTTTAGGGAAAGGTGAACTCATTTTCATCTGCTAATCATATCTGAGTCTCTTACAGTGAAGTGGTGAAGAGTGAAAGAGCAGCTTTGCACTCAATGTGTATTGCTTGTGATTAATCTGAGGTCTCGTTTTAGGAAAAGAGGTTGTCAAGATTCTTCTTACTGCCACTGAATTTCCAGCAGGACGACCTTTAGCAACTCATCTGTACTCCCTTTGCCTCTGTTTCCTCTTCAGCAAAATGAGTGTGATGACAGCTACCTCACAGGGTAGATTAAATGAAGATCGCAGTGCTTAGCACAGTGTTTGATGCATGGGAAGAAGCTCTGTGTGTGTTACGATATTGCTGCTGCTTCCGTTACAAATACAGTGATACGGTTTGTACAGGCTTGTGGATTTTTCCACTTGTTTCTCTAGAACAAGTCTATAGAACCAAAACAGATGGCTCAAAGGATAATATGTGTTAGAGGTTGGTAAGGCATAGGATTTCATTTCCTTCCAGGAATATTATACAAGTTACCCTTCCATCAGTGATCCCTTTCATGGACTTCTTAGGAGAAAGTCTCCCCCTTGGCAAGTCTTCATGTCCAATGCTCTTTAGGGGACCTCGGAGAAAAATTAAATCCAGCTCCTTTTGGCCTGTGTCTCTGTGTCACTGGCAACTCCAGCAGCCACACAAAGGAGGGGGAGATTTGGTTCACAGGTATGAGTTTGTCTTGGCTACTACTGCAAACACACATCTGTAGAGCACCAGGGAAGTACACGGGGGAAACTGAAGATGCGTTGCTAAAATGAAGGACTCCGAGGATCACCCTGCTGGGGATATAGTGATAACACTTCATATTTTTACGAGAAGCTTTCACATACATTAGCTCATTTGATTTTCTCAGCACTGAGGCATGTAAAATAAAAATGAAGCTTTCTTCCCCTAATTTTGACTGCAGAATCTAGATCTACTCTTAATCCACTTACATTATTTTAAAAGCATTTTCAAAGTATAAAGAGTTTTCTCTGTGTATTAATCTTAAGCTTCTAAAATGATCTCTCTTCTGTAACCATGAGTGTTAAACTTACAACAGTCTGTCATGGGACCCCAGACGTGGGACGTGATTTTGTTGTAGTTTTGGAAATTTGCCCTAGTTTGAGGCAATAGAAAGATCTGGCGCCTTCTATTTCATTTTATAGGTTCAAATACCATTGAATATCACTGTGGGTTTTGGCTTGCTGAATACGTTGGTAGCACTAGGGTTTTGCTAACTTCAGTATATCATTTTAAGAGGAGAGAAGGGTTGAGCATTTATACTCCCATTGTAGCTGTTTTATTGACATGTTAAATAATAATCAGGGGCTGTTCTAAAAACTCATCAAATTTCCTTAGCTTTTAAAAGCCATGAAAGTGAAATCCAGTCCAACTTCAAAGCCTCTGCTATAGCCTTTGTCCCCGTCATCTGGCTTGTTCAATCTCCAGATGAAATTCATGCAACTCCCTGAGTTTGGATATCAGTTACTACCAGCCTTTAAGGCACCTGTGAGCAACAGTTACTTTGTCCCCTTCTTGTGACTACTTAAAGAAGAGTTTTGAAATTGTATCTTTTATCTCACCAGAATATGCCTGCCTAGAAAGATTTGTTTAGAGAAAGTTTGTTTCTTTTAAGTAAAGTGCAGGACTGAAATTAATAGCCTTGCCTTGAAGCCATTATTCCAAGGATGGGGATCCAGACACAGTAAGTCTGTAGTAGCTACTTCATTGTCCAGTGCGGCTCTGTGTGCCTAGACCAGCACTTCTCCATGGAAACAAGAGGTGTCACCTGTACTAAGGTGTTCTCTGAATGTGAAGCTAGAGAAGAGCTGGAATTTTCCCCTTCAGGTTTGTTTTGTCACACAAATGACTTAGACCCATACAGGTTTGCATGGAAGTCTCTCACCACAAGGCCATCTTCAAGTGGACTTGAAGCTCTGAGGGGACAGAAGCCAGTCACCTGATTCTGAGGGGAGGTGTGGGTTCCGGTTGACAAAGATCTCCCATCCACAGAAGCCCTAGGGACTCTGGTGCTGACTTCAAGTCACCCTGGTTTATAAGATGCAGCGATTTAGGAATGAGTTCCTGAATTCCTTGGGTTTCAGTTCTCTTCAGCTCAGATAATTTCTTCCATTACTTTTTCACAAACTCACAAGCTGTCATGGCATAAGGACTGGACCTGGGACTAATGTGTGTTCATTTTGTTGCCTTCCATGCGATGTTGGGCTTTATTTTACCTCCTCATCTGAAGCAGTACCTAGTTTTGGTCACATCAAATGAGACCCTTCTTTAAAATATTTACTGTCTGCTGGAGCCTGAATAAACCAACTGCAAAAGTCTAGTTAACAACTGGCCAAATCCCATGGTCATTTTTAAAGACAACTTCCCCTCTTTTGTGAGTTTCATCCAGACATGTAATCTGGCAATAGTAGTGTTTTTAGCGCCACACAGAACCTAGAGGTCCTTTGTCCTTGCATTAAACACAGACCCCTTCCCAATGTGCTCCCCTGAAAGAAGACAGCAGCATCATAACTGTGTGTGGCCAAGCTCTCATTTCATCTCCCCTTGCTTCCTGGTTCGGAAAACGCGCCCTTTGTCATACCTAATTCTGACTTCAGCACTGTCTGTGGAGATTGCATCAGGAATACCACCCTGGTCAAAGGGACAGTCTGGTGATCTAAAGCCAACATGAAAAGACAAATATCTTACATCTCCGTGTCTTCTAATGGTTCGTGTGGGCCATTGTCTAGAGGCTCTGAAAGTCAGATGTTTTTGTGACCATTGTGTATATCTGGTGGTATATCACTTTTTTTCTCTCTTCTGTCTCTTTAGGACCAGGAAGAAAACAAGGGAGCAACAAGTTGGCCTGAGTTCTACATTGATCAGCTCAATTCCATGGCTGCTGTAGGTATCCTTTCTGTTCTCTGACACAGTTTAAAATGCAAATTTAGTACAAAGCATGCAGTTGCATAATAAATTCACTTAAGTAAGAACTACCAAATATCATTCTCACTCCAAAGTCCATTCCTAATGTTCAGTGTTGAGGAGAAAGGAGAGGCAGGAGTGGTGCTTGGCAAAATGATTATTTTCCAGTATGTTTTACATAAAATCAGCACATACTAAAATATAAGTGAATTTAATGTTATTGGAGGAAATGTAATCATAAGTCTGGCTTCTGTTCAGCTTTAACTTGCAACTGGTCTTATCAATCATGTGGAACTTGGATAGGGCAACACCTAACATTCTAAATGTTAATACCGTTTAGAAATAGTACAATGAAATTATCCCTACACTGTTCTCTTCCCCCTCCCCTGTTTTTTAAAACTGAGGGCTTTCTTGGGTTCTTGGTCTTATAGGGTACCAAAATATTCTTCTACTCATATAAATAATTTTTTAAAAGTTCATGAAATAGGTGGTTTAGTGAAAAGGCATGATAGTAATAATGCTGAGATATTCTTGGGAAATCTTTGGTAGGTGTATTTTTGATTTTGTAATCACTAAAAAGGTGTTCTCAATGTCTAAAATACACATTCCAGTCACATGGATATCTCTGTGATGTCAGAGTTTTGAGCTGCTTGAGGGATCAGCAAAGATACACAGCAGAAAACACATCATCAACATTTGAGTCTTAATAGCTTAAATCCTGTCCATGTTGATAGAAGTTGGAGGTTTCCCACAGCAGAGCAGTCTTTGCCTCCGTGGGCACACTTCTGATTTTAAGAGTGTATCTGTCAGGTTCAACTTTGAGTTTATTCCATTCAAGCAGATGACAACTTCCATGGTATTTTCTCCACCTCTCCCTTTCCTCCTGTCCCCAGAGTCCTTGGGGAGAATTCATTTCTTATCACTTAGAGCAAACATTCTAGATTGTCTAATATTTTGCTGCTGCTAAAAAAGTTAAAAACTGACTAGAATATGTGAATCATTCACACTTCTGCTAAACTTTCAGAGACCTTGACTTTTCATAACTTCCTCTTCTCTAGCTTTTCCTTTGATGAGGCTGCTTCTGCTGTCACATCATGAATAAAATAAACAGCCTGGTACATGTGAACAGAGCTGTATAAATTATAGAAGAAACTGCATAAGCTTTTGCCCCAAGGGTTTCTCTAAAAGCACAGCAGAAAAGAACAGAAAGTAACCACCAAATCCTTCTACCAGGCATCCGACACAAAGATGAGAAAAGGGTGATCTCAGCATTCATGTGAATGTGTTAACAGAACATGAGGCTTATGATGGCCTTCGGGGATTTTCTCTCCATCCGCCTGAGCAATAATAATACAGAGCCATTTGCATTTCCTGCACGTAAAGGTTATTTCTGAAATCTTGTTCTTGGCTGTTAGGGGGAAAAAAAGAGCTGTCAGGCAGGCTGTCTCTCTTTCTAATTAAGTCAGCCTTATTTGATGTCTAACGTGGAAAGTTGCTCCTTTGTTAATGCATTCACTTCTGTGAGCAGAGAAGTACTAAATAACTGGGTTTTTTCCTTTCTTCACATTTTAGGGCAGTTGGGTTAATCTGTCCTTTAGTGACTTACTCCACGCCTTGTCCGGAGTTGGCCTGGCTTATTTCCTGTGCTAGAAGGTCCCTGATGTGCCAGTTTGTAGCGCTTCTTCAAGAACCTCCCTTTTCCTTCATCCAGAACCTTTTGCTACATTCACACAGCATCTACATTTCAGTTATACTTGCTTCCTAATCTAAAGCCCTCTCCGAGAATATCTCCAGGCCCTTAAATGTTAGTGACTTTGCTCTTCTTTATGGACATGAGTGTGAGCAAACTCTGGGAGAAAGTGAAGGACCGAGGAGCCTGGCAGGCTCCATGGGGGGTTGCAAAGAGTCGGTCTTAGCAACTAAACAACAACAAATGCATTAAACACCTAGCAAAGCTTTCTTCTGCTCTTGAAGGACAAAGCTAGCATCTTTTCAGGGTTAAGAGTAAAGGCATTATAACAATTGATGAAATAATGAGGCCTCAGCACTTCTGCATCTATAAAGGAGCAAGGAGGTCTGAGGAGACCAGAAACCCTTTGCTTGAGTTTTCTGTTTTTCTCGCCCTAAGTGGCCACCACCTCCTTAGAGGTCTTGCTAACCTCTCTGGAGAATTCCTCACAGCGGAAATTCTGAGACATCATCCCTGGGGACTTGGAAAGGCACATGACTCCTCCCGGTCCTTTCCTGGTTTGGCAGCCAAACTCTCTGGCTCTGCTTTGGGAATTGTTGAAGGGGTGTTTATCCACATCATCATCATCCATTGTCTTCAGCACCAGTAGCGGCTGCTGCTATTGAGTGCGTCATGTGACAGGCAGACTAACAGGCACTTTACATGCTGTTTTAATTCCTTACAAGCACCCTCTGCTCTAAGTGCTACTTATAGATAAGGAGTCTGAGACTCAGATAAAGGTTACCTTGCTCAAGGTCATCTCATTTGGAAGTGGTAGAGCTGGAATTTAAGCCTATCAGTCAAGCCTATCAGCTCAAAGACTCCTTTCCAGCTTGCCTGTCACTAACTAGGTTTTTTAAATCCTTTATCACTGTGGAAGAGGCCTGGAAATCCCACCCACGCCCCACCTCCCAGCTTTTCTGAGGTGGGACAGGCATCTGCAGAGTCTGATAAATAGTCTTAAGTTGAGAACCACAGCACTTAACTGGTCTGTGAAGCCCTTTGTGGAACAAGTGCAGTTGCTTTATGGAAGCCTCGTAACAAGAATTCTTTGTTCTTTAAAGGACCCCTGAGTGATCTGTTGGCTTTTAAAGAGTGAAAAACAGTTTAATAAAAGGAGAGCGTGTTCCAGAAGGGCCTGGACTTTCTTGGTGTGTGGCTTCTGCGTGTACTCTCAGGGAACAAGGATGTGAGGTGATGAAGTTCTGTGTGCTTAGCAGGTTGGCTTATTGATTTCACACCGGTGAAACCTTTCAAAAAGAAGCTTACTTCCAGACTTTCCCAGCCAGGGATGGTTTCTGTGCCTGGTTTGTACATCTCTCTCCTCCCTGCATGTTCCAGTGTAAACCTCAGCAGCCTTGACCAGAGGAGCCTCTGCTAGGACGCGCTCTGTCCTTTGCCCACTCCTCAAATGAGCAGGGATTTAGTAAGTGGTTAGCACGCCCAAGGAGGCCACCACAGCCCTGTCCAGTGTATGCCAAGGTGTATCCTGGCTGTTTGGCATAGCAGTCATCTTAGGAAATGTAAGCATTTCCTTACTTAAAAAAGAATCCCCCTTTTCTATGAAAAACTGCAAATTTAGACTTCTCCATAAATGTGAAGCTTGAAAACTTGAGACTTCATATAAATTATTTTATTTTGAAAAGTCATTTTAGAATATCAGCTTCATCTACATAGAATCGATTTTCTCAATATAATAAACAATCTTAGATTTAACTCTTAATTGTACTACACACAGAAAAGAGGATAATGTCTTCTGTTTTGAGAGGAAAGTAATAGTTCTTATATGGGAAAGGAAATTCTAATTTAAATTTCTTTTCATAAAACTCCCAACTCCTCTAGGGAGAGACTTAATGTAGTCTGCCTTTATTTGGAGCTTCCCCCTTCCCCAAGATTGTTAAAAGGATAAATATGTGCATCTTTATTTGGTATTAATGAACCACAATAAGAAATGTATTTAGTCTTTAATTTGGGAGGTTTGGGTGACTAAGCTTAGGGACAAGAAGTGATGTTCATAAAAGTTTTGATTCTGGACTGTGGATTCAAAGTGATTGCTTGAGAGTCTAAACAAATTCAGCTGTGCCACAGGAGATTAAACGTTCTTGGCTGGATTTGTGCTAAATTTTCCAGGATATGGGTCTCACGGAGCCATGGAGAAATTCATTGGCTCTTTGCACACACAGCCTCTTTCCCTGCCATCCTCTGGTGACAGCTGTCAGGGCACATCTCTAGCAAGAGGACAGCTTTAGCAGAAATAATTCAAGTATACTAAACAAGGCTTTACTGATATTTATTTCCGTTGCTATGAATGATACTGATATATGTTTGCTTTGAGCTTTACCCTCCTAAGTGTGAAGTCAAATTTAGGTTTTAGTTAACATTTAGTTACTTAATGCTTATACTGTGAACGTGAAAAAATTAAGTAAAGTCACCCCTTGATGATGTGTGGTCCTGAAAGAAAGGGAGAGACTGTACCATTGAGACATGTGAATAAGAGCCAAATGTTTTCTTCAGTATCCCGGTCTGTTTCCCAACCATGCGTTTTATCAGAATAGGTAACAGGTAGAAACACTGAGACTGGACAAGCACATGTTAAAAGTAGGAAGAAGGCAAGGGACCTGTGGTTCTGTGGGTGGAGGCACCTAGGGATGCTCCTTAAGCATCTTTTAAGCCTTGAGATGCTTTTAGTACCAGGCTTCCCTGGTGGCTCAGTGATAAAATAATTCACCTGCTAATGCAGAAGATGTGGGTTTAATACCTTTGTCAGGAGGATCCCCTGGAGGAGGAAATGGCAACTCACTCCAGTATTCTTGCCTAGAGAATTCCATGGACAGAGGAGCCTGGTGGGCTACAGATCATAGGGTTGCAAAGAATTGGACACCACTTAGTGACTCAACAACAACAACTTTTAGTACACGTAGGTGACCATGAGGTAAAAGGAATGAAAACAACTTTTTAACAAGTCTGTGAATCTTACTAGCATTCATGCCTTTGTGATATCAACCAAGATCTGCTTCCTAGGGCCTTCCTCTTTGAAGTGAGGTCTACAGACTGCAGCATCAGCTCCATCAGGAGCTCAGCATCTTTGGCTTCACCTCAGATATGCCAAATCAGGACCTGCATTTTAACAAGCTTCCCCAGGAAATTTGTATCCTTGTTAAAGTTTGAAAAGTACTGCTCTACCTCCAACTAATAAAAATAAATGGGGGGAAAGAAAAAGAAAAGTACTGCTCTAGTCGTGGGTAGGAAGAGAGCACACACACACACACACACACACTGTATACCCTGATTTCCAAATGATGTTGAATCATTTCTAAAACTTAAGCATTTACTCTGAAGGAATTGTCTATCTTTATGTCAAGTTGAATTTAATCATTCTTCTTAAAACTAATTAGATTACACTTTTTGGCTGAGGAATGAGAGAGCATGGGAAGATTGCTGCCTGCCTCTGTTTGATAGTGTGATAATATTTCATTGTCAGAATGTTATATTTAACTGCGTGTCTAATCTTTCTATCAAGTATAAATAGTAATATCTGCATCAGAGTGTAGTTATAGAATAGTTATATAAGTACTTGGAAAACAATATCTACTAAGATTTCTCAACACTTTCTTAAAACTTTATTTAAATTCAAAAGAACTAACTTGTAGTAGAATGAATTTGTGGAACTCTTGGTGCTTTTGCTCTACATGCTGGCTTATAGTAAATCTTAGTCATAGTCTCATTTGGTTGTTTGTATTAAAAGTGATAGTAACGTGATCTGTGGGCTTGTTTTGCTTGTGCCATAATTAAAACATAGAATTTAAAGAAGTTACTTTATAATTTTCTTTGCATAGAGAAAATCTCTGCTGGCTTTAGAGAAGGAAGAGGAAGAAGAGAGAAGTAAAACTATAGAGAGTCTGAAGACAGCACTAAGGACAAAACCAATGAGGTAATGTTTTACTAGGCAGCATGTGCCACTTGTCTCTCTTCTTTTTCTTCTTTTCTACTTTCTTCCTATTTTCTTTTTTCCCTTCCTTTTTCTTAATTTTTCTGCAATGGCCAAACTTTTGGGGTAGTCTTAAAATAAAACCACGTAATTAAACCATGGATGAAATACCTTACACACTGAACATTCACTAAATTATTTTTCTTCTGTTAAAAAAGATGTAGACAGGTATGAAGATGGCTAAAGTTAAAAATGGCAGACTAACAAGTGTTGGTACAGATGTGGAGAAATTGTAACCCTCATTCACTGATGGTGGGAATATAAAATGGTGCAACCACTTTAAAAAACAGCTAGACAGTTCCTCAGAATATTAAACATTGTGCTGCCATATGAACCAGCACTGTTGCTCCTTCTTGATAGCCAAGGGAAGTAAAAATATGTCCCCTGAAACCTTTTATGTGAATTTCAGCATTCTCTATGATAGCCAGAAATGGAAGCTATCCAAATTCTATCAACTGATGGATCCATAAGTAAAATGTGATGTATCTATAGAATGGAATACTTTTCAGCCATAAAAAGTAATGGAGTACTGATACATGCTACCACATGGATGGGCCTTGAAAATATTTATGCAAAGTGAAAGAAGCCAGACACAAAGGACCGCATATTGTAAGATTCTGTTTATATGAAATATCCCCAAAAGGCCAATCCATAGAGACAAAAAGATAAGTGGGTTAGGAAGAGAGGGAAATGTTCTTCTAGTGTTGATTAGGAAAGGGTAATGGTTTTCTTGGAGTAATTAAAATGTTCCAAAATCAGATCATGACCATGGTTGTACAACCCTGTGAATATATTAAAAATCACTGAATTATAATTTTGAAAGTATGGATTTTATGGCATGTGAGTTATTGCTCAGTAAAACTGTTATAAAAGATGGATTATCACCTACTGTATGCCTCGCACACCTTTATTAATGCCCTTAAGTTTTGGTAGGATATGGGGGTGCTTATAGGTGCATTTCATTAGAACAAGTGCTATGAATGAAGCTTGGCTAGATCTTTCTTGGTCACATGGTTGGATAAAGTGACTGGAAAATAAAGATTCCCTATATTTGACTATAAAATGATAAGAAAAATCTGCTGATTTCTCAAAAGTTATATACAGTTTAATGACAGAAGTTTTCTAGCCTATCCTAACTGTGTTTTCCTCTGTATATGTGTTCCAAATTCTCAGATGTTAGTGGATGCCCAAGGCTAAATAAGTTTGGAAATTTCTGGAGTAATCTAGGTTTTGTTACTTTGAATTTTTCAAAAGGCTTAACCTGCAGATGTACATTGTGAATTTTTCTCTTTGATTGACTTTAAAGTAAATAAGTGCTGTAAATATAAAAATATTAGTATATAGTAATCAAGTATTGCTTTTATTTGTTTTATATATTGGGATTCCATATAGCATGTCATACAAAAGGAGGGCTTTGCTATGAAACCTTAAGAAAATAGATTATCATTTGGCAAGTAAATATTCTGGAGTTTAGGGATGCATTTTGACTTTCATTGGTGTGGGGCATGCTTGAGTCAGTGGTCAACACTTAAACATGCCTGGAGGCTGGATGCTATCCTAACATAGGATCAGCAGATGACTTTAACCTAAGGCAGATATCTGAGTGTCTTCTTGTTCCTGGTTTCCTATGGTTATAAGGTCTGTTAATTGGTTATTTATATCAACTAAGATCTTTTCTAACTCAAATGGAGATTTTTTTCACACTTCTGGTTAGACCTGACCATTGGGTCTGTGCCAAGGAAGAGGCCTCCAATTAAGAAGACTTCATCAATGTAAGCCTTCTGTTACTTTAGGAACTACATCTTCTTACTTCCTCCTGACCACCACCCCCCTAAACTTTTCTCTTAAGGGCTATTAAAGAATTCCAAAGAGACTTAAGTCTGATGCACTTTAATCTTCTTCTCATGACAGGTTTGTAACCAGATTCATTGACTTGGATGGCCTGTCATGTATTCTCAACTTTCTAAAGACCATGGACTACGAGACCTCAGAGTCTCGAATACATACCTCTCTCATAGGATGTATAAAGGCGCTAATGAACAACTCTCAAGGTCGGGCTCATGTCCTGGCTCATTCTGAGAGTATTAATGTTATTGCTCAGAGTCTGAGCACAGAGAACATTAAGACGAAGGTGGCCGTGCTGGAAATCTTGGGCGCTGTGTGCCTGGTTCCCGGGGGCCACAAGAAGGTTCTGCAGGCCATGCTGCACTACCAGAAGTATGCCAGCGAGAGAACCCGCTTTCAGGTGGGTGCTTCCACGCCACATCTTCATTCCTGCCTCATGACAGGTGCCTCTCCTGGCCCCTGGGTGGTGGTGGTGGTGGGGAGGGTGCCTAACTTGAAATTTCCCCCTGTGATGAGCATTCATATGCGGCTTCAAGTATTTCCGTGCTCTTGGGTACAGTAGAATATTCTTTTGTAGTTGGTCATATGGGGTTGTGGATTTCCAGTAGTCCTCCCCTCTTACCTGCAGTTTTGCTTTCCACAGTGCTAATGACCCGTGATCAACTGCTGTTTGAAAGTATTAAATGGAAACTTCTAGAAATAAACAATTCATAAGCTTTAAATTGTGCAGCTGTTGTGAGTAATGTGATAAAATCTCATGCCATCCTGCTCCGCCCCTCCCAGGATGTGAATCATCCCTTTGTCTAGAATACCCACAACTTATACACCACCCCGCTGTCAGTGGAGGAAAAACAAAGTCTGTATAGGAGTATATATAGGGTTCAGTACTACCCACGGCTTCAGACATCCACTGGGGATTCACACATCCCTTGTGGAGAAGGGAAGACTGTTGCCCTGAATTTAAAAATGTAGCCCTCCCTCCTTTCTACACATTATGTAATACACTTTTCAATCCACTAAATGGGTGTTCTCTGAAAATTTTACAGATTGTCAGTCTTGATTTAGGATCAATATAAACAGTGAGATTATGTTACCACATTTTTTTATACTCAGGAAAAACAAGTAAAATTAATGAAGCACAGTCTTTTGTGTTAATACTTTGTATACATGTATGTATAAACATATATGATGTAAGAATTTTGAAAGTAGAGTTTTTAGGACTAATCTTAAGGAAAAAAGGTAGCTTTCTATGGATCGATGTAATTTTGACTCAACACAAGGTTTTAAAAATTAACTTCTGAGTATTAAAAAATTAATAAAGTGAATGTAAGGTAGTAACTATTCAGTCCTTTGTTTTCACATTTGTATCCTTGGTAGACGTTAATTAATGACTTGGATAAGAGCACGGGGCGGTATCGAGATGAAGTGAGTCTTAAGACTGCCATCATGTCTTTCATCAATGCAGTGCTAAGCCAAGGCGCAGGAGTGGTAAGAGCCTTCTGTGTCACAATCTAAAACATACATTGTTAAAGAACAATTTTTTTAAAAAATACTAAAAAGTATCTTCTCTAAAGAGCTTAAAAAGTATCCCATCACCCTTCTACTTTCAGGAAAGTTTGGACTTTAGACTTCATCTTCGCTATGAATTTCTGATGTTGGGAATTCAGCCTGTAATAGACAAATTAAGGGAACATGAAAATTCAACATTAGATAGGTAAGCCACAATGTTACAAGAGATAGTGCATGTGTTTTCCATGTGTGTAGTGCCAGTCTGAACTACTTGTGACCTAAGGAAATTGTACCAAAATGTTAGACCAGGTAATGGTGGCTCAGACGGTAAAGTGTCTGCCTACAGTGCGGGAGACCTGGATTCGATCCCAGGGTCGGGAAGATTTCCCTGGAGAAGGAAGTAGCAACCCACTCCAGTATTCATGCCTGGAAAATCCCATGGACCGAGGAGCCTGGGGGCTACAGTCCATGGGGTCGCAAAGAGTCAGACACAACTGAGCGACTTCATTTCACTTCACTTCTCAATGAAAGAAGCAGCAGATTGTGTACAGAACTTAGTGTAGGTTTTGAGATTAAATGGGAATTCATATCCTAGTGCTGCTGCCTATTTGCTATGTGTTCTGATCAAGTTACTCAATTTTTGTGAACCTTACTGTTTTTATACCTGAAGAAATAGTGATGATGATGACAACACTATCTTTAAGGGCTCTTGTGAAATGTTACTGTAAAACATGTGGAATCACATGGCATCTTTGATAGACATTCTATGCATGTTAATATCCACTTCACTGTTCATTTGCTTGTCTGCAAATTTTACGATTTCTACCATACCCTACAAGTTTTCAGATCTTTCCTTTTACCACTCTTCTCCCTCATTCATGCACTCCACCGTGCTTTTCTTGATAGTCTATGATCATGTAGACTTGCCTCAGGGCATTTGCACCTACTGTTTCCTCAGCATTAAAAGATTGTCCCACAGATGTCCAAATTGCTTGTTCCTGTGCAACGAGATCTTTTCCAGTCACTGTGTTCAGAGTCTCTACCTTACTTCACCCCCATTATTCTCTACTCCCTTTACCTGCGTGTATTTGTCTCCACAGAACTAATCATCCCCAGTATCAATAGCTAGGGGCTCAGTAAATATTTGTATGAATAAGTGAAAGGCATGACCGTTGCTCTGTAATCTTTAATTCAGTGGTCCGTTGCTCTGTAATCTTTTAATTCAGTGGTCAAGCAAGTTACTTATATGGACTTATTTTTCCATGAAGAGATTCTGTGAGTGGAATCTGGATTTGGTTGCTTTTGGAACGTAAACTTTTATGAATTGTCTTCTACATGCCAGGCCTCCTAGGCTTTTAGATTTGTCTCTTGTAATGATCTCATTTGAGATACATGATGTCTTTTATTCCTTAGCACATAGTTAAGGGAAGGCATTTTAATTCTGTTGTGATTCTTCTTTTAGAGATGTCTCTGAAATTTTAGGAAAGGTCTTAGTATTTATGTCCTGATTCCTATGTGCCTGTGTTTATAGGATGTTCTACTTTTAGTAAATTGTCTTTGTCTTTCAGGCATTTAGATTTTTTTGAAATGCTCCGAAATGAAGATGAGCTAGAATTTGCCAAAAGATTTGAACTGGTACGTATACTTACAATTATTCTGTTTTGACTCGGCAGCTCACAACTTCCCCTGTGGTAATGTGTGTCATAGCGTTGTGTAATGTAAGAGCAAAATCACATTACTGTTTTGCTACCTAAGTGGCAGGATTAGGCTCTATTTGCCTTGGATTTGCTTACCTTACCTTGTAGGAATTGAAGAACTTGAATGCTTGATTTAGATTTCTTTTTTATATGAAACAGGTTCACATAGACACAAAAAGTGCTACTCAGATGTTTGAACTGACCAGGAAGAGGCTCACCCACAGTGAAGCTTACCCGCACTTCATGTCCATCCTGCACCACTGCCTCCAAATGCCTTGTGAGTGTGTTTGTGATTTACATGTGTTTGTGACTGTGGGGACATCATTCAGAGGCCTCTGTCATCTGAACAGTGTGGCTTAGGTTGAGTGCACACCAGGGATTCCAGACCTTGTTTTTTGACGGCCCAGTGTGTCTGCGGGCGCTTCCCTGGTTGCTCGGTGGTAAAGAACTGGCCTACCGATGCAGGAGACACGGGTTCGATCCCTGGATCGGAAGATCCCTGGAGAAGGAAATGACACCCCATTCCAGTATTCTTGCCTGGGAAACCTCATGGACAGAGGAGCCTGGTGGGCTGCAGTCCATGGGGTCTGAGTCGGACACGACTTAGTGACTAAACAGCAACAAAGTCGTCGCACAGCTTAAGGGGTGTTATAAAGCTCTCAGAAGAAAATGAATGATACCTCACTTTGATTTTAAAATGAATATATGCCTTACAACACATGTAGAAGGGGATAAAAAGTACCTCTCAATCATGTAAATGATCAATGATTCCAGATTCCAGATATTTGGGAAGGCTAGTGTTTACTAGCCTGGTTCTGTGACTGGTGGGTGACCCCTGTTGAAAAATACTCTAAAGTTTTGAAACCACTTGAAGTATTTCCACTGTTCTGTTCTTTTTTTAGACAAGAGAAGTGGCAACACAGTTCAGTACTGGCTACTCCTGGATAGAATTATACAGCAAATCGTTATTCAGAATGACAAAGGTCAAGACCCTGACTCCACACCTTTGGAAAACTTTAATATCAAGAATGTCGTCCGGATGTAAGTTGCTTCTTGTATTGCTGCCCTTGAGATAACAGCAACAATGTAAGACATTTGTTTTATCTTACTTCACAATAGCAGTTGGGAGAACTAAAGTGTTCTGGAGGTCAGATATGAGTTCCTGTGTGTATACATGTAATATATGTGTGTAACTTCTGGATTTAAAATGGGTCTCAAGCATGCGGAGGACTTGCCTTGTATTAAACAATTTTTGTACCTAGAGAGCATGCATTTAGCAGTTGGTCTTTTGTGCTTTTTGTAATGAATGCTCCTTTAACTATTATACAGGTTGGTTAATGAAAATGAAGTTAAGCAGTGGAAAGAACAAGCAGAAAAAATGAGAAAAGGTAAATGATGAGGTGCTGACAAGAAAAGAGGTTGTGTTAATGGTTACTGGACAGCTCTCCTTACTGTATATTTTAGAAATTTGCATTGATGCTTCTTACTGACATTGGTGCATAAACAGCCTTTTCCCACCATCATGTCTTCAGGGCAGTCTGCCTAGTTTTTCTTGAATCAGACTCTCTTAGTTGTCATGTTGATTCCTCAATATTTTATCCTTTTATTATAATCATCTGCATTTTTTTAAGCATGTGCTGTTCAGTATTCATTAGTTCAGATTTTCTTAACTACCATTCATGCCAACCTTCCCCATAACTGCTCTTTAAAGCACACTGGATTTTAAGAAATATAATAAGGGACACCCAGGGATTACCCAGAATTTTGAAAGAAAAGTTCAGGCCACTTGGTTTCAGCAGTCCAATTCTCCATTTGACCTTAATTTGGCACCAGTTATAAAAAGAGAAATCATGCAGAAAATCATTGACCATTGTAGATGTTCATGTTATGAAATGTTAACAGGCCAGCTATTGATGAATCTCTCAATATGTCTTTGATATCAACACTTAGCATCAAGTAACTTGGGGGTCATGCCCATCACCATGACAACAACTCACAGAATGGTTGGAACTTTTCTCCTCCTTCAAAATTAGCAAGTTAAAGTTGGACGCTTTGAGAAAACAGTCATACTCCTGGCCACTACTCTTGCATTATGCTGGCACATGGACTTCCTTTTCCCTATCCAAGTGACGCATTCACACCAGTGGCATACACTAGCACTCGCCCCGATAGTCAATGTGTTGAAAAGCTAGTCCACAAGATGCTGAAGCATTTCCTTTCCTCATATCACATTTTGTCCATTGAGCAGAAAGGCAGTCTCACCACTGGTACTGGAAAATACAGAATATGAAGTTCTATTATATTATGGGTTCCTCATATGAATTCAGATTGGTCTTAAATAAGTGAGGTTGCACATACATTTTTATAAATTAATTCCAGAAACTGCTACAGAAAGAATAGAGACACTGGTTTACCCTAACTTGTAGGGTAAAGAGAAAGTTACACCAGAGAAGATGGTCAATGAATGAGTGATGTTTTGGGGATATACCCTGAAGCCCAGAGACTCAGGTGTGTGAGTTGAAGAGAGTACTTAGGACATAAGCTTGGGAGTCATTCATGTAGCAGGAATGTCCTGGATGGCTGCCAGGTCAGGTGCTATACTAGGCTCTGGGTCAGAGTCTCAGTCTCAGTCTGCCCCTGACTGGTATGTGAGTAGGCTAAGTCCTTTACTCCTCCAGTCTCTCTGCAAAGTCAAGCTTGAACTTAATAGGGTTGTTGTGAAGACTAAATGAAATATACGAGGACTTCAGCATAGAGCCTGGCATTTGTTACTTGCCTAATAAATGGTAGAGGGCTTCCCTGATGGTTCTGCAGTGAAGCATACACTTGCAATGCAGGAGACCATCTACAATGCAGGAGACGTGGGTTTGATCTCTGGGTCAGAAAGATCCCCTGGAGAAGAAAATGACAACTGACTCCAGTATTCTTGCTGGGAAATCCCATGGACAGAGGAGCCTGGCTGGCTACTGTCCATGGCATCTGAAGATTTGGACATAACTTAGCAATTAAACCACCACCAACAAATGGTAGAAAGTTTTGTAGGATTTAGGCAGCTGAGGTGGTAATAGAGGAAATGGCCGAAGTCAGTCAGAGGAAAGTTCCTAAGCCCTATCCCTGATCTGTAGAATAGACTCCTGGAATGGGATCTTGGGGTTCTGAAATGTTAAAGTCTCTCAAGTGGTTCTGAGGCTTGGTCAGATTTGTCAAAGGCTAATGACCAGTGATAGGAAGTCAGGTCTTAAACAGTTGTCAATGGGATGGAGAGGGAGGTGGGAGGGGGGATCAGGATGGGGAACACATGTAAATCCATGGCTGATTCATGTCAATGTATGGCAAAAACCACTGCAATACTGTAAACTAATTAGCCTCCAACTAATAAAAATAAATGAAAAGAAAAACAGTTATCAAAGAGGAATGAAATGGAGATAGAAGAAGGAAAGGGAGATGCAGTGGGGTAGTTTTTAGATGTTGCTGAAGAAGTCAGGGAAGCATCTGTAGAGTGGTAGATGTAGGTTGACGGTTATCTTAACTCCAAGGCTGGTAAAATCCAAGGAGTTTAGTGACTTGAACCCTTCTCTGCAAACTCTGACTTTGGAGGATGCAGAAGAGAGAAAGTAAGAGACAGAGAAAGCAAGCATTTTAAATGTGTTATCAAATTCAGTAACAGAGCCCAACTCTGTGTAGCTCTGTCCCAGTGGGTTCTATCTCTAGTGGGTTTATTGATATAAAAAGACTAGGGATTGGGACCAAGTATTTGAAATAAAAATGTGCAGCCTAAACCTGATTAGTCCTCTTTTTCAAAGAGCATCACTCTTGTCAGTGCTAGAGTCAGCAGGTGTGTTGGCTGCATAATCAAACATTATGCAAAATGGGATGCATTGTTCCATTATAGCAGGATTGGGGGAGTCAGTGGAACCACAGCTAAGAGGTAAAATTTTTCTTCTCTTATGGTTCTCATGCTCAGTAGGTAATCCTGCCCCGAAGGTGTTTAATGCTGAGATGATAAAATTTGCCCTCCCAAATTTTAATTATTGTTATGCCAGAGCATACAGCACTTCAAGTCTAAGGGGCCCTCGAGGGGAGTGGGAGCAATGGCTCCACGTTGGGAGCATTGTCCATGTTGGGACAAACCCTGGGTGTGGCAGCCACACTTCCTCCCAGAGCAGTATCCTCCCTTTCAGCCCCTCCACTAGTTGGACATGAGCCAGCAAACCCAGCTAATGAACACTGGCCCTCTCTCGTTACCATTTTTAAGTTGTGAAAATGTCCTGTTAATAGTCACTTTCCATAGTGTGGCTAAAGGGCCATTTCTGGGACAGGATTCTGAATTAAATACCAAGCGGGCAATGTTCACCTCCACAGATGGTTGCCCATGCTTGTGTCTCCTCTTTGGCATTGTGACTAGAGGGCCTCTTCCGCCTTTTACAGATGTAGTTGATAAAGTTGTTCATCCAAAGCCCCCTCCAAGCACCAGCACCATTGAGCCCATGAGTTGCTCCCTTCAATGGAGAAGAGGAATGATATTTGCTTAATAAAGAGTCTCCCAGACAACCTCAATCAATTTCCTGTTTGGAGAAAAATGCTTCAGCTTTGAAGAGTACACCATTTTCATGTCCAGTTGTTTTCCTGTGTAGAGCACAATGAGTTACAACAGAAGTTGGAAAAGAAAGAGCGAGAATGTGATGCCAAGACCCAGGAGAAGGAAGAGATGATGCAGACCTTAAATAAAATGAAAGAGAAACTGGAAAAAGAGACCACCGAGCACAAGCAAGTGAAGCAGCAGGTGGCGGACCTCACGGCCCAGCTGCACGAGCTGAGCAGGGTAAGACCCCCGGCCCGGGGCCAGGGCTCCGCGGCGGGCGGCTGCTGGTGCCTCCCTCAGCCCGGAGCCCCATCCTCAGGTAGCCAGCCCTGTGGGCAGGAAGAGAGCCTGAACCCTCTCCTGGCCCATCACAGTGGTTGTACAACCTGCTGCCTCTGCTGACCCTGCACGTTAGCAGAGATGGGTGGGGGTGTTCGTTCTCCAGTGCAGATCCTCTCACAAGAGTGAGGAAATCACATCAGCTTCTTAAAATGAAAACTTGTTATCATGAAAACCAAACTGGAGGATGGTGCCACAGTGAGAGACATAGAGCACCGTGTATACGTCCCTTCGACTCAACTGCCCCTTGAAGCCCACAGTCTCGGATGTGTGAATTCCTCTGTACCATACGTGTTAGGCAGAGTGTCGGACTCTCAAAGTCGTCCGGTGGATTTACTTCTCCCGCTGACCTTGCCTTTTCCTATCTTTATTTTTCAGAGAGCTGTCTGCGCTTCACTCCCAGCTGTACCCTCACCTGGAGCCCCCGGGGGACCCTTTCCTTCCTCTGTGCCAGGGTCTCTCCTCCCTCCCCCACCACCCCCACCTCTGCCAGGCGGAATGGGTCCTCCTCCGCCTCCTCCCCTCCCCCCAGGAGGCCCCCCTCCTCCCCCAGGGCCTCCTCCCTTGGGGGGAATCATGCCACCTCCTGGTGCCCCCCTGGGTCTGGCACTCAAGAAGAAGAACATTCCTCAGTCCACAAATGCCCTGAAATCCTTCAACTGGTCTAAGCTGCCTGAGGTAAGCTATTTGCTCACATTTGCCATCTCACGGACAGCATTAGCAGCCTACCATGTTGTCCCTGACAGGGAGACAGCCCTGGCTCTCCAATGGTTTCATTTTCTCACATAGACTCGGGGTTCTCACTAGCGCAGATATTTAAGTGATAAAGCTTCTGAAATAAATGACAAGTTATTTAAAGCCAGCTCATTCTGAGCATCTGGTAAGCGAAAAATTTGGGAGAGCAGCACTTTTTTTTAAAAAAAATAACTGCATCTGTTCTTTTTGTGTCTAACTATAAACCCCAGCACTTATTAACTTGATGTTTGCAGAACAAACTGGAAGGAACAGTATGGACTGAAATTGATGATACAAAAGTCTTCAAAGTTCTAGATCTTGAAGACCTGGAGAGAACTTTCTCTGCTTATCAAAGACAACAGGTAAGAGCTTGTGCCCTCCAGATGGCTAAAACAGTTAAGAAGTTCATGTTCTTGTTCATGATCCCTGGGCCATCTGTCTTAACCATGCTGTGATAGGCATCTTAAGTCTAGGCCGTTTGGTCTACCCTGAAATGTTCCCGCAAATAGCGTAACACTTGGGTCTGCATGTGTGACTCGGTGCCTGTGTGTGTGTGCATGCACATGTGCATGTGTGTACATGTTGCAGGCATACAAGCTCCTTGTTGGAGAGAATCATACTCTGGTGTCTACAACCTTGTCTCCACTGGTGGAAGGAATCTATCTTCTTGTCACTTGTGCTTAGTCAAAGGGGTCACCAGGTGAAGATATTAGTAGAATTACCTAACTTGTAGTGTTACCTCCCAGTGTTCATTTCTGAAGCTGTTTTAGTTATACATATATATCTCAAGGTTATTATCAGAAGGGGACTGCCTTTTTTATTTTTAGGGCAATTTTGTTTTCTTTTATTAACAATGTTGTGTTTTATTTCTACCGTACAGCAGAGTGACTCAGTTATACATGTATTTATTCTTTTTCATGTTCCTTTCCATTATCGTTTGCAGCAGGATATTGAATATGCTCCCTCTGCTCTACACTAGGACATTGTGATAGGGCTGTTGAGTAGAAGGAATCTTTGAAAGTCTGGGAGATGGGAAGTGACTATAAGTCGGCAGCTTGATAGAACCTAGGGGGAAGTTTTTACTCTGTCAGGAACATGATCAATTCAGAAGCGGGGCCGTGAAGGCTGAGCAGCTGTGGAGATGGCAATGGGACACACAAGACCTGGGGCACTTCTGAAAAGTGAGCAATGAGATAGTCATGAGAACGCGATTTGATGTGGCCAGGGAGGCAGCGTCACTTCGTGAGCCCCAGTCACATTGGTGTGGTACCTCTCACTCCTCGAGAGGGCATCTTAGTAGAGTTCACAGCCAAGTGGCCTGGTGCCAAGAGTCAGAAAAACAAGGAAAAGGTGGAGTGGGGTCTTAGTCAATGGGAAAATCTGGGAAGGGGAAAAGTGAGTCCCAGAGCATAAGGAAAAAAGCTCCAAGAGTCGCTGGGGGAGAGAAGGGCTGAGGAGGAGCGCAGACTGCGCCTTGAACAGAGGCAGAGGCCGGGCATCTATGCAGGGGCCTTCCTCAGGCTTTACTGGGAGGCCCTTACCTCCTGCGTGAATCACGCCCAGGGTGGAGCATCCTCAGACAAGCAGCAGACTTCCTAGTCTGCTGAGGCTTGGCCTGGTTCCCAAGAAAGAGTGTCTCAGAACTGCCAAGCCCTGAGGGAGAACAGTGACTGAGGCTGGAGAGAAACAACATCTGAGGGTTTTCTTTTTCTTTTTTTTTTAATTTTTATTATTATTATTATTATTATTTTTTGTTTTCTTTTTCAAAACAGCCTTTGATGAGACTAAAATTGAGAAGGAAAACTAGTATGTCTTTTAGCTAGAATATTTTCCCTTAAGTGAGGGAACACTTCCTTGTGGTACCCTTTATGCTATTTTTATAAAGTACAAAAATGCAGGTGGTTGCCTGCCATGACAGCATGACTCCAAAATAGGAGCTCTCAACCTGGCCCCCACAAAAGTATGAAGGCAAACTTGTGCCATGTCATACATGCCAAATAAAGGAAAATAAAGAAAAAGAAGATAGGACAGTGTCCAGCTGAAAGCAAGATACTTTATCTTTCAAGGGACAAACAAAGGATGTGTCGAGAGCTCTTGCATGGCAGGTACTTGGACCAGACTCACTGCAGAATGGTCACAACCAGCCTCTTCCACTCTCTCACACACGCACTCTCTCTCTGATATCCCAAGAAGGTTTATTCTGGGCTTTTTAGGACATTTTAGCCAGTTTCCAGTAGATTCGAATTATCTTCTGACCTCATCGCACATTCCATTGATTCCCTACTTCATTTTCAGTCATTAATACTGGTCCATTCTGGTTGCCTAAGATGAAGGTTTGGCAACTTAGAGAAGTAAATAAAAGGAAGAGAAACAGCACCTATTTCAAATGATGCTATTCAAGTCTGAGCTTGTGGATCACGTTTACTGTGAAGGCAGGTGGTTGAAAGACCCAAGTTTACAAAACTCATAATTAACTGCCTTTCAGCAGAAGGTGCAGAAGGATGCTGCCAAAATGCTCTGGGACAAATATGTGGACAGCTCTCAAGAGCTCCAAGAGACAGGGTTGCAGAAAGCCTAGCAATTGGGTAATTGTCTCCTAGCAACCAATTGCTGTTTAAGTAATCAGTAGTCATGCCAGTCAGGCTAGACCAGAACATTTCAGTTGCAGTTAACACTAAGTTGTAGACTGGTAAGTAGAATCATTTGTGACATTTCCAAGAGTGCTTCCTGGAGAAAATTTTCAGCACACTTGCTCAGTTGATTCAAGTTATGTTTCTCCTCTTGGTATAAAAATGTGAGATGAGAATTTTTAAACCATAAATGTGTTTAAACCATAAATGTGTTTCCCAAGTGAAGGTAATTTCAACCATTCCATTGAATTTATTGAATGTTGAAAGAAAATTGAAAGATGAAGCAGTCTAGTTAGGAACACACAGGTAAAGGAAACAGGGTTTATGTCATTATGTCCCCTAGCCTTGTAACTAATGGCAATGTCACAAACCTATTGCATTTTCATTTTAATCTTGGCAATGCTCTATATAATTATTATCACACTCTAACTGCTCTCTTTTCTACTCCCAAATGAATACTGGGAACCTTTTTTTTTTCCTGTGATATCTTCTCTTTCTTCCCTCCAGAGTTATATAACCCTGACCAAACTCTCAGGATTTCAGCCAGTGTGTGACCAAATGCATTTCTCAGAGAGGCAAAGAATACATGAATACCATTGTCTGTGTGCATTTAATAGGAACACTACACAGAGTAAGATTATGAAAAAAAAATTTTAAGCTTCAGATTATTATAATTTAGGTGAGCACTGATTAATGACATTTAGGAGAGAGTTTATATACACACACACACAAGATATGCCTTGTTGATATGAGAAATACTGAGTCATTAAAAACTGAACAGATATTTATACTGTCTTTAACTCCAGTTTTAAGAATAAGACCATTTCTATTCATGATTTTTTTTTCCACTGTGAATATCAAAGGTGTGGAGAACTGAATATGTAAGCTTATATGCCATGCGAAATGGAATTTAATAGCATGCAGTTATTCCCCTGCTCACATTCCAGAAGTTCATTTAAAAGTCAGTGTCCTAAATCTCAGAACCTCTTTTCCTCACTGAAACTGTATTACACATGATTTCTAAGCCAGCCACAAAAGACTTATTTTAACACATAATGTAGCACATTGCATATTAGCACTATTTCAGATATATTTGAACTATTTACCTTCATTTTGTGGGAAATTTTCATCTTGAGATGTTATAAGTTTCATTCTCCCTATCTATGCAGTTTGTAGAGTGAAAATGAAGTTACTACATCTAAAGGAACATGTATTTCTGTCACAACAAATGAGCAACTAGCTGTCTCCATTCCTCTTCTTCACTCTGCCTGGGGACACCCCTTCTTCATAGTTCTATTATCAGCACATAGTATCTCAAAGCCTCTCTGCTCTGATAGAGAATAAAAGATAATCACTCTCCTAGGCTTAGAATCTGACTCTCCTGCTAACTTGTAATATACAAGTTGTTGGGGTCATTCTTGGGGTCCCATTTGGAATATTCTGTGATATCTTCTGATTTATCTTATGGGTGGGCAAAGAAATTTCCTTTTTTATTCTTTTTACGTTTTTTGTTGTTCTGTATATCTAGTTTCTAACATTGAACAATTATGTGATTTAGGACATTGATTCAATAAGCTCGATCTTTAGCCATGGTACATGAAGGCAGAAGGTAAAAACTGTAAATAGTGGCTTTTCTTAGTTCCACAGTAGAAGGTAGAGGTTCTATAGCTGGACAACATGGTAAGAGTTAATCAAATACAGGGTTTTATTTAAATATTAGTGCATGCATTTCTCTGGAGAGGGATCTCTAGCTTTTATCAGAATTACAAAGGGATCTCAACTTCAAAAAGATTAAGAACCATTCATGTAAAAGTCATTGTCTTTAAAATGGTGAGTCATTATTACATGGTGAAACCCTGTCTACAGGAATTTATCAGCACTGGTTCCTGAAAATGCAAGCTCCAATTTCCTATTTATTTTCCAAATGCTAATCCCTATACCAAAAATCATCTGGAAAAATCAGGCATCCTGTTAGGTGGAGCCAAATGTAGATAGTCCTACATTGGGCCTAATTGGCCCAAACCAATTAGTGAATCATTTAGTTTCAAAGAGAATATTAACTTATTTGAAATGGAAACATAATTATTTTTAACATTTCCATCTAAGAAACTTTGTGATTTTATTTACGATGTGATGAATAAAGGACTCTTAAAAACGGGGAATCTCAAGACCTCCAATTAGCCAAACTTTCCCATGGCATTCCTCATCCCCACCTTGCAAAAGATAAGATAAATTACTTCGCTATTAACTGTTACACTTAGTGCTGCTGCTGGTTATAAACAGGAGATTTTAACCAACTGTGCTTCAGCTCAACTGAGAAGCAGAGCAATAGGCAAAGAAATGGACTTGATCATTGTCTTGAAAGATAAAGTAATTGTAATGTATGACAGCTTCCAAGTGTTGAGCTCATAAATATGTGACAGGTACTGTACAAAATACCATATCTTCATTATCACATTTAATCCTCACAGTAGTAATCCAGTTGTTTACTTCATTGTACAGAGAGTAAACCTGAGCCCCAAGTCACATCCCTAGCAAATGCTAGAGGCCTGGTTCTGTAGTCCACTATAGTAGAGGTTAGAGGTCTTAATTTCTTGACATTGGGAACTTGGGGAGAATGAGTTACAGAGACCTTCATACACGTTTCTTCTTTGAAGGCCAGACAGGGAGAGTGGTGTCTAAATCCAGCTTGCAGCTTGTCTCTTTAAGAAAGAAAAGTAGGGTAAGACGACCTCATGGAGTTCACTACACTAGAGTTTTTTCTGCTCTTGAAAAGAGAAACTGCTTTTACAGGGAAAGAGTCCTGAAGAGTTTCAGGGTAAAAAAAACTTGACAGTTACAACAGGGACAAAATAAAACTGTGACATCAGAGGAAAGAAAGTTTTTGTGTGGTTATCGATTTATTTTTTTAAATGCCATTCCAGAAAAGTAATCCCTCCGTGTATGGGTGGAGCCAGGGGAGGATACGTGTTGTTTCCCATTTGAAGAATGATGTGAAACAGCTCATCTGTGTGAAACTGGCCTTGGCAGTGCTGCCAGGACCAGTGAGGCCTTCAGGAATCTGCTGAGTAAATGGTGGTTGTGCAAGTAGTTGGCCCGAAAGCTGAGGTGTATTTTGCACACCGAAGCTTTATTCATGCCATCATGGCAAAAATATACAAAGAAAGCTGTGACTTTCTCATAACATGTCAACTACCTCTTCCTCTTTCCCTTCTTCACTCCAAATCTATTCTATGAACTATTTTAAACAAAGACTGTTGCCCTTGTCTCATGAACAACAGTCCTGAGGCAATGGGGACAGGACCACCAATGACACTGTAGCCCATGAATCACTTATTGTCTCTTAATTGGAAATTCTGTCTTTTTCCTCATACCTCCCAGAGCACGCACAGGCATTGTTTGGACTTTCAAGCAGTACTGAGGGTTGGTTTTACTGACCTGTTGTTGAACTTGTCTTTTTTCTTTTCTTCATTCTTTCTCATGACACAAGAAGACAGAAGATTATTCTATCCACTCAAAAAATATATATATTTTGCTGTTAGTAGTTTCCTCAAGTTGATGCAATTGATCTGTATTTTCTGCTTCAATTGTCATGTTAAATACATGGAGCCCCAGTGGTCCTTTCAAAGAGGATTTTTTTTCCTTCCCCAACTTGAACTCTTTTGAGGGTGTTTTAAGTCCTTTCGTATCTGAATTTGATTTGCCACCATTGAAAATTGTGTATAGCACCTGCTGTCTTCTGTCTTGAACCTGAATGCTTATTAGTACCCTTCTTGTCAGTGTATCTTCAGCCAGACTCTCATCTTCATCAACTCTCATTGCTGCTCCTGGGGCATTTATTACCTCTTACCCGGTGTCACTCATTTCCTTGACTTTCCTGTGTGTTGCTGTGATTTCTGAACTGCATGTATCTTATTTGCCTTTTCCATGCCTCTGCCATGGCTGTAGGATTTCTTTGTGAACAGTAACTCCAAGCAGGTAAGTGAGCTAAAACCCCCACCTTGCTTAATATAACTCCTTGGCTCACTATAGCTCAAAATGTCTTGGTTTTCCTGGGTTTTTTTCTGATAGGGTAATGCAATGTCTAGTTAATTCCACATTGGGTTTCAACTCTTCACTGACTATTTAGAGGTATGCCTGAAATCTCTGCACAATATGAAATAAAGTTTGGTCACATGGTTCCTCTTAATATAGACTCCATATTGCCTTTGTTTCCTAAACCATTATCCAGTTCCAGAACTGTTTGGTTTCCTTACATTTTTTAAATGCCATGATCTATTTTTTAAATTGATCCTGACCTTTCATAGAATCAGACTCGCTGTATATCAAATCAGTCTGTTTTTACCTTGACGCTCTGTTTACTCAGAAGGTATTGTGTGTATAATTGCCTTATGCCTCTTCCACCGTAAATTATGGCCCTCCTTGCTTACAACTCTCTGCACAGCAGCGGAGTGTGCAAGTAGTGTTTTATTGTTAATTGAAGTAAATTGAACTAACGCCTTGAACTGCGCACTCCCTGTTGTCCATCAGGCTCCAGGGTAATGAAAGGTACCATCTGGGCCTGGGAGCTTCCTATTGCACATGAAGACATTTGGGAGGTTTTATTGTTCAGCTTTCTGAGTGTTCAGGATGCAAAGGGTTCTGGGGTGAATGGGCCCTGCAAATGGCTGGACCGGCAGGGGCACGCCTCAGCTGAGCTTGATTCATAGTGACAGTCCTTCTGTCTGCTCTCCATTGGGATTTGGGGGACAAAAGGAGGGTAGCGCTCATTGATAATTTATGCATCTTCAACTTAGAAGCACTTTGTTCTTCCAAATAATGCTTTTTCAAACGTGGGTGGTCGGCTTTTCTTGTTATTTTCCTTTGTCAACTAGATTTTAGCCTTTGTTTCAGTCCCACCACCCCCCTCCATTCCCCTCCTCACCATCTCAGCTGTGCGTGTGTGCGTGTGTACGTGTAAACACCAAATATAAAGGAAAACTGTGTCTGAAGTCGGAATGTCCCTATTTGACTTTGATGGGTTTCTTTCATGCTCTTTATAGAAAGAAGCAGATGCCATTGATGACACCCTGGGCTCCAAACTTAAAGTCAGAGAGCTTTCTGTGATCGATGGTCGGAGAGCTCAGAATTGCAACATCCTTCTCTCGAGGTATTGTTGATGTTGTCTCAACATTTCTGGTAGGACCAGGTTTTCTATCATGTGGCCCCAAACCACGTGGTTGGACTCGTTCTTTTATCTGAACTCCACTGAGGGTCAGCTCTCCGAATTTCTTCTGTCCAAGGTGAAGAGGACTCTTAGTGTTTACTTTCCCTCATGGAATATGTCAAAGCTGTTGCCTACTTTCTTGGGGTTTAATTTCCACAGACTCCTAAATTTTAAAAAGCAGACCATCTCAAATCAATGTTTTGCTTGGTTTTTCCAGAGAGCCTGTAAAATGGGCTTTACTGTTATTTATACTTCTCGGCTTTAGAGCTATTAATACTTTGGCCACTGAAATAACACTGTCACAGACTCAGCACCCACCATGAAGCCTCTTTGTTTCATTTTGCTTCTTAAGTCACCCTTTTATACTTCAGATTATATTATTTCATGTTCTTTGTGAGCATTTTTATGACTAAAAATATGTCAATAAACCTCACTGAAATGCTAACTTATCCAGTTCAGCCCTGTTCAAAAGTATTTTTCATAATTGATGAACCATCATGGTCCTAGAGCTTGAAAAAAAGAGGAAATTTGGGAGCCTGGAATCTGATTATAAATAGCTTCAGGGAATGTGTCAGCTGGTCTTGGGCATTTCAAGTAACTTTTCTGAATCTTTTCTCTAAAAAGGACTTTCACATTAGGCAGAGATACTTAATGTTGACGAGGTGAAGGAAAATGTAAAGAACCCTGAAGTTTGGGGCATTCTGGACAATCTAAGTCACATTGGTTACAGTCTGAAAAAAATGTTGAATCTGTATCAAGGCTGGTACAAGGTGACTTCTCTTTTAGGAAGAGTAAAGATGGAAAATAGTAGTTTTTATTTTTCATACAGTCTTAGAGTAAATTTAACACAAAGCAGCATAGAAGCTTGATTGATAGCCAGATATATATTACTTTAGGGAGAAAATGTTTCTTTTAGAGAAAGAGAAATTAAAGCTTGGTAAGACCCCCCCTGAGTTTTAATACAACTAGTAAGGTAATATGAAACATCCTATTAGCACTTACTTTTCTGCCTTTGGCTAGAAGCTATGTAAATGGTCAGGCCCTGTGTTTATCCCCACTTGTTTTCAGGAAGACACTATTGAAGATAGTTTTGAAGGTCTACGTACTTTTTTTCTATAGACTGTACAATTTGTTTTGTTACAACTTCTTTTTACAAATAACATTTTTACTTAATAGCAAAATTAAATGAAAATTTAGAGAGAGTGTTTCTTTAAACCCTAGAACTTCCCCCCGGAGAAGGCAATGGCACCCCACTCCAGTACTCTTGCCTGGAGAATCCCATGGACGGAGGAGCCTGGTGGGCTGCAGTCCATGGGGTCACTAAGAGTCGGACATACCTGAGCGACTTCACTTTCACTTTTCACTTTCATGCATTGGAGAAGGAAACGGCAACCCACTCCAGTGTTCTTGCCTGGAGAATCCCAGGGACGGGGGAGCCTGGTGGGCTGCCGTCTATGGCGTCGCACAGAGTCAGATACAACTGAAGTGACTTAGCAGCAGCAGAACTTCCCCCTCTATTTTGTGCTTTTGCAGTATAGAAGAGCCCTTTAAAAACAACTTGGCAAAGAGAGCCATCACTCTGAATTTTTATAGTATTTAAGAGCTCTAACTGTGACCCAGTTCCTCTTAGACAGATCATTCTCAGTACAAGATGCCACTGAGGGTAATTACACTAGTTATAGATAAGGTTACAACTCTTTCTGGCAAATTTCCCATCCCATTATTGGAGGGATTGTTTCATATTTGTCATATGTCATTCTCTTGTTACATAAAAAATGTCAAAGGCTAAGGTGACTTAGAATGTGAATGTGCCTAAACTCTCTAGTAGACTATTCTAAGAACTTGTCTTGTGTCTATTAAATTGTCTTTTAATATCCAATTTAATGAATAAGTATTACAATGAGCACATAACATTGAAAATGTATTATGTGTGACAAGCTGATTTTGAGACCAAGTTACCCTTATGGTAATTGGGCCTTGTTGATCAGGGTCTAAAACCTTCTCTGCCACAGAGGAGTCAGGACCACATGCTTTTCTGCTCAGTGCTCAATAGTTTTACTCTCTCTTCAGGAGCGCACAGGACAGCTAAAGGTAAAAGAAATGAAGCAGAACTAATTTGTTTTTTAGTTAGTTGTTTAACCACTCAGCAATTTACCTTGCTTTCACTCTTCTTTTCATTGGCGATGCATGACTACACACAAAAGGAGCAAGGGGCTTCAAGGATGGGAAAGATGCTTTTGATGCTTTGATGCTTTTTGTCTTAGAGTTGTCACTTTGGAGTGTTTAATTGCCTGGCACTGTGCTGGATGCCATAGGATGTCCCAAGACTTATGATTGCATTGTTGCCTTTGGCAGCACATGGCTAATTGGAGAAGAAAAATGCCACAGGCAAGATGACTTGTGAACAATGCAGGCCTTAGACTGGCCTGGCAGGAAGGAGATGGGGAGCCCAGCCAAGGGAGAGAGGGGACAGCAGCAGGGTTTTCCTGAGAAAGTGGGCCTGGGTGGGGGGTGGGAGGCAGTTCCAAGGGTACGCAGGAGCAAAGGCAGCGGGGGGCTGGGGAGGCAGGGGGCGGTGGCGAGAGTTCAGGCAGAGCTGTAGGGAGCTCTGTGGTTGCAGTCTCTCACTTGGATTAAATTAGGTCAGGCAGGGACATCTGCGATCCAGGTCTGGTGCTTTTCTAACAGCCTGAGTCCAGCCAGAGTCAGTCGATAGAATGGAGGTAATGAAAGTGGTAGGTTTGTAAAAATGAGAACCCAGCATGTGAGAAGCACTAACAGAGTGCCTGCACACGGCAGCTGCTCAGTCAGCGGCCCGATTATATTCCCAGGGGTCCAGAGCCTTTTGCTCCAGAGAAGAGCACTGTCTCAGTAAGGTTTTGAGTTCGATCTCGTGGGTTTGCAGGATAGGTTGGAAGGGGTCAAGAACTGGAGGCACAGGCTGCCATCAGACAGGAAGCTCTTTTTGTTGCTCAGCTAAGACCTGATGAGGGACGGACTGGAGAGAGAAACTGTCACTAGCATTTGGAGACTGACTTTGTGCCTGGGGACAACGAGTAGGAGTGTTTCCAAGCTGATGTCAAGATCTCCTACCTTTCCACACTGCCTTTCTTCTTTTCTGCTTATTGCGTTCCCAACGTCTGGCGACCCTCTCTCTGTGTCTTATCTTGCTGACTGGGAATTTAATTTCCAGCAATGCAGTCATTACACCGAATTCCACCACAGCGAAAGCCCGTGGCATATTCTGTGGGTGGTATTGTAAGGTGCACATGTCTGCATTGTTTGGTTGTCTTTAAAAACTCTTCCTTACCCACACACTGCAGAAGTTCATGGACCATTTGGCCAGGCATAGGTTCCACAGCCTCACCTGGAGCCAAAAAGTTCAGCTGGAAGGAAAGCCCACCTCATCGCAGGGTCCAAGCAGTGGAGAAAGTGCATGTGCCCCTAGAGTGAGAGGCCAGGGTCTCTCAGCACCCAGAAAGAGGCTGTCTGGAAGGTGGGGTGCTTCAGGCCACCTCAAATCCTACCTGTCACAGACCTGAGAAGTGAGTGGAATGGACATGGTATGCTGGAGAACTGTTCCTCAGGCCCCCTGCAGAGCCAGCCAGCTTCTCTCCTAAATGTGTATAGGTGACATGTGGCAACTTACAATTCCCTTGGCTTTATTCCCCAAACATACCTCTCTCCTCCTTTCAAAAAGAAAAACAGAAAAATAAGAATCTCGGAAGCTGGCTTGTATTGCAAAATGAACCCACCTAAAATACACTTTTATGAAGTGTTCTGCCATTCTTTTCTTTTCTTTTTCTTTTTTTTCCAGATGCTCATGTAACATGACAGCTAGGGTGCAGTATACCACAAAAGCTACTTTAAAGTGGAGGGATTTGGCTTAAATCCACTGAAACAGAGCTCAGGCGGATCTAGCCACCCATCCTTAACTTAGTCTAATTGTACCTGGATGTTCCAGGTCTCTTGGCGAATTTTTGAAATACTTGAGTGGAACAAGGTGGAGTTAAATACCAGTTTTAAATAGCCAGTTTGTTTCCTGTCTTGCATAGCAAGTTGAAGTGGGTGTCTCACAAGTTGCCACCCTCCTGCAGGCCAGAACACTGCCAAGCTCTCAAAGCCATTAAAAGTTTAGGATTGGTAGGGTCCTTCAATTACAGAGATTAGCAGCTCATTCGATGGATGACAGACGATACTAAGAACTCTTTGGCAACCTAGAGAAGCCTCCCAGAGGGCCACGGACCCCTCTCCTCTTTCCCCAAAGGTACAGCTGCTTTGTCAGCTCCCACAGGCCACGTGCAAGGCAGGATGTTGACAGGTAGATTTTCTTAAGTACTAGCCATTAAAGTCTCAAGTCTCTTTGTGGGCCACATTAAGAGAAACCAAAATTGTTATGAATTAGTGCCAGTGTTTAGTCCAGACAGCCTCAGGGGGTTGAACAGCATAAATATATACAATTTCAAAAGCAAGAAGTTCTGCACTCCATATGGGGAGCTAATGAAATGCAAATCTGATACTTCAAGTATTGTTCTCACTCTGATGTTCAACTCCTTTTCTTTTAAATGGAAAACAGAAGGACTCAGCAGAAAGACACCATAAAGTGCTTTCTCCCACTTGGTGTGAAAAGGACACAGAACTAATTTTTTTTAAATAAGTGGAGCTTTTCTCATGATGATTTTAGATGTTTCCACAGCCTGCTGGTTTTCATTCATGGCAGTTTCAACCTTACCTCACATCCCGCTTCTTTGACCTTGCTGGCTGCACCATGGTCTTTGCCCTCACTTGACTCAAGAGTCTTTAGTGTCCTGAAATCTCAGGCTACCCATGGTCCATGTGGTGGAGATCTTGAGCCAGGATAGAGTTTTCCCCTGTTGTATGTTTCACCCATGCCAAATTGACTTAATTGTGCCATTTAAGTTGGGTGGTTTTACATCATGATGTTCTAGTGACCATGTTCATGGCAAATGACTGTCTCCAGACCAAACCAACCTGGAAAAGTCTGTCTGGTCCAGAGTCTCCGTCCACAGCCCAGGAGTTGTGGTGGTGATGCAACTTGGACTAGGGAAGAGAACAGGTCTTATTCTAGAACATGGACAAATTGGCATGTTGCTTAGGTGCTCTTGTTGGGTTTGAAAGCATGAAATAGAGTAGTATTTATACAGTAGGATTCCCCAATCTGTTCCTTCCTATTGGCGTACCTATTGGTACATGAAACAACATGCAGTATCAATATCAGGATGGATGCTTTTAACAAGATCATGTCAAAATCTAGAGAAAAGGACAGGCAAGAGAGGTCCAGAATGAGCTGTGTCTTGCCCAGGTCCTTTCCTCCTCATGGGCTCTGTGGCCACCCGTGCACTCATCCAGCCCTCTTGGCAGAGCATAGGTAGCCTTTGTGTGAAGTATTTCTGCCTATCATCTGATTCTTGCAAACATTTGTTTCAGTTGCTCAGTCATGTCCAACTCTTTGCCACCCCATGGACTGCAACAAGCCAGGCTTCCCTGTCCTTCACTGTCTCCTGGAGTTTGCTCAGACTTGTGTCCATTGAGTCAGTGATGCCATCCAACCATCTCAAACATAAGCACCTTTAAAATAAGCACCATGACTTCTGATTCTTTTTTAATACTCCTGGGCCTAATGGGTGCTATAGACAGAGAGGAAAACTTTAGTGAAATAATGGCTCTGAGAGCACTTTGGGAAGTTTCATGATAATCCTACTTATTGATCAAATAGCTGCACGTGAATATTGATGTTACATAAGTATTGCTGCTTTTTTTTTTTCCTGGGTGGAAAAATCTGCCTTGCAAAATATACATAGTTTATTGTGCTCTTTCTATAGTGAGACACGGTGCTAACCACCTTGCATGTGCTATTTCACTTTACACACAAAAAAAATTTTTTTTAATTTTTTTTAAATATAGTTGTTATTATCTTTGTTGTATAGATGAAACAACTGGGGCTAAAGAAAAAATTTTTTCCAAGATCACACTGACCAGGAAGTGTCAGAGCCAAGACATGATTACAACCTGTCTGATGCCAGAGCCCCTTCCTTCAAATGTTACACAGGAAGGCTGTATGCCTTGCTCTATATTTGTGTGTTTATGTCTTTATCCTCTGTCCTAAATGTGATTCTTCTTGAAGATCATAAACAAGATGAATGAATCAAATAATGTTAATATGAGACCTTAGTGGTAGCTTATAAGGAAGTAAGAATTTTTAAATAAGTCTGGGTCTGATGCTTATTATAAGCAGGACAAAAGAATGACCCTATTGTAACAGCTAATAATCTGATTAAGATTTTTTCCTCCAGTTAAGACTTTTGGTTATATCTAATGAAAACATATTTTTACAAGCATTTTTTTTTCTTTACAAGCATGTTTTAATTTCATCTTTTTTTCACATTCAACACTTTGTTGTCCTGCCATAATCAAGACAAATCCTTCATATAAATCAGTAAATCATAGGAATTAATGGTAGACAGGAAAACAAATCAGATTTGAGTTTTTGCTTAAATCCTTCCCTATGAGATATTAACTAGATAAGCATTATTTGTTAAAAGAATTTGGGATTAGCAATCAACAGTGTTGGGTTTGTGTTAGATACTGTGCCTTTGTATGCGTTTGACCTTGGGCAAGTCACTCAGCTATTCTGAGCCTCAGTTTCTCCCTCTATTAAAAAAAATCTTCACGGTTATTTTGAATGCAAAATGAACTAACATATATGAACATGCCTCAGCTATGTTATTTTGTATATCAACTATTCCATTTTTTAACAATAACGTTCTCAACATGCATTTTTAATTTGAGAGCAAACCTTAAACACTCCTGACACATAATCAAGTTAAAAAGTTAATTTTCCTCTTTGCCCTGCAATTCGTAAATACTGTGTATTAAATAGTTGTGTGTGGGTGTTTTCCCTAACTTCTCATCTTCCAATCCCTTGCTTAAGGAAACTAAATGGTAGAACATGACAGCTTTGTTCTCTGTGTCAGCAGAGCATTACAAAGCCCAGAAAGAATGTTAAAGCCATTTCAAAATACTATTTTTAGGTGCAACACGGTCAGGAAATAAGTGTTCACTGAGAGATTTTGAGAAAAATGGTACCTGAAGGTTGGCAACTGGTGTAGCAAAATGAGTTATCTTGTATTAAATTGTTAACAATATCAGCTTGAGTAGTCACAACAAATTAAAACATTCTTTCTCCAGGTTGAAATTATCCAATGATGAAATCAAACGAGCAATTCTAACCATGGATGAGCAGGAGGATCTGCCCAAGGACATGTTGGAACAGGTGAGCTGCCGGGTAACACTCAGAGCACAGGTTATGCCAGACTCTCAGTGGGGAGGGATACCACAGAGACCTAGTTGTTGTTAGTAGACAGTTTCCTCACCTCTCTGTGGAGGAGGTCAGTCCAAGGTTCCACGTGGCTCTGTTAGAAGGCCCTAGGACTTGCTCCTCCCCATGTTCCTCAAAATAATGGGAGAGAATTACAGTCCTGCATGTGTTAAATGCCTAGGACCCTCGATGTCAGAGTCTGTCTTTCATGCTGCTGCCATCAAGCTATTACTCCTCAGCAGGTCACATAAATCTACTAGCTTTAGGAGAAAGTGTCTGTTTCACCGGAATACTGAGAGTCTCAGCACTGTGTGATCACAGCCTGCACTGCAGAAGCTGAATCACTGCTTAATCCCTGACACATTTGTGTCTCCGTCTTGGCTCATCATTCTCACAACCACAAAAGCCACTGGCAACCCTCTGGCGCTGTCATCGGCACTCATATGTCTCATAAGGCAGGATGTGAACTTCTTGGGGCTGGGTCCTGTCTTCGTAAATTGTATTGTACTCTTCTTGTGTTATAAATGGCAGTAAATTCAAATGCCAGGGCTAGCAAGTGTAGGGTAGACTTAAACATGGTCAGTATACATCCTTGTCCGTGAGATCTGGAGATAATTTGTAATTTTTTATGGCCAAGCAACAAGTCAGATGTGGTGCCCTAGCCTCTCTTCATGCAGTATTTCCATAACACCTTGTGCAGCCACTGCAGCCGTGTTGTGTGTTGTCAGCGGCTTGGTTCATTTGTCTTCCAGACGATACTGTTGGTAATATTGTGCTGGTAGATAACCCCAGGGACCGGTACCTATCTCTTGGTCTGGGCCTTAATTTTCCTGTGCTTTATGGGAATGTCTCTGAATGATCTAGTCCTGTTCTGTCTCCTTGTCTCCTTGTACTGCCGCAGAATCACGTTTTGAGAGAGTTTGGTCACAAGGCCCCACCTGTTTCTTAGAGCCAGGTCCACCTGAGGTCATGGGTGGACACAGGTGATCACGAGTCCAGGCTGAGACTGAGGTGTCACCTGTAGGTGTGCTCAGCTCCCAGGAGCAAGGGAAAAGGCTGTTTTGCTCCGCTAACAGGGGTCCCGTGGTGGTGGGCTACTCCAGCTGGAGCGCCTGTTTGCCTGTGCATCCTGTCCTGTTTTCACTGATTCCCCGCAAGGCCTCAGCCACGAGGCGGGAGGAGTGATGTGTGCGGGGTCACCGCACCTCCGTGGGCCCGCCCCTCCCTGAAACCTCTGCGGCTGCAGTCATCCGGGGTGAAAACCCTCACACTCAGCAGTGGAAAAACTTTTTCTGCTGTCCTTTTAAGGCTTGATTTAGTTCCCAAAATAGTTAATGACTATGTTTCCAAGTCTGTTAGGATGCTCTGTGCATAAATAGTTTCAAACTATTCCTCAACTGAAAATGCCTTTTTCGAGCATTTTGCAGCTCCTCTCCTCACTCTCCTCTCCCTCTCAGAACACTCGCCAAACAGAGCCTCTGCCCCTGAGAAGTGGAGCTCCGCTGCCCTCTGTCCCTCCCCGGCCCCCTGCTTTGCACAGGCTGGCACCAGAAACTGCTTGCCCCAGCGTGAAGAACTAGGCAGAAGGCTCTTTGGTTGTTAGGTCTTCAGCCTCTGTTGACAAGGTTGTATGTTTAAAATTCCACCAGATCTGTTTACTGTGAATTTGCATCCAGCAAAATTCCTCCTTGAGGGAAAGGATTTCTGAAGCTTGCCAAAAGAGCTTGTAGTGCAGATAGAATGTACTTCAGATAAATACAAGGGGAAAAAGAGGTCTACTGAAGCAGACTGTGGCCAAGTGGGATCCTTCTGACCCGGCTCTCCTGAGAGCTCTGAGTGTCGTGCTCTCCGCTCGTCTCCCAGGCTCTTTCTTTTCCTGCTCACTCCAGCCCTCCTTCCTGTGCCTGAACACAGCATCCTTTACGACTCAATATGGTCTGCATCTGAGCCAAGTTTGTCCCCCCCCTCTCCTGATGCTTTTAGCCGCTGAGATCAGATCTCAGATGAGGTCACTCCTCTTTCTTGGGATGCACACCTTTCTCCTCGTCACCAGATGTTTGTCTGACTCTTCATTCTTTTCAAAACTGTCCATACACTGTCTATTCTCGGCCCTACCTTGAGAAGGCCCAGGCCTTTAGTCTCAGCCTCTCACTGTTGCCCTCGTGAATAACAAGAGAGAGAGAGGATGACTGTGTTATCCCAAACAGGGGTCTGTGAACTCAGCAGGCAGGTATGGTGGAACCCCTGATACTGGGACTGAATTCCAAAAGGTAAAAATCCAAACTCGGGGGGAAAAACAAGCCTTGTGCTCCCCCTTGCTCCTTCCTTCCTTTGCCCTACCATCTTCCCTCCTGCACGGAGGAAGCACAAGAAGGCATGTGTCCCATCCAGTGTCACCATTGGAACAAGGGAACACCCTCGCCTAGAGGCTCTCAGGCCACCAAACCTATGGACTCCCTGGCGTCTACTTCAACCTCTCCTCCCTCCACCCTGTGATGGGGAGAGGGGACCCCTGGCCTCTGCTCTGGCCCATCCTTTCCTTCCAATCAGAGGACTCTGCCCCTTTCCTCGAGGTCTTCCACCTCGCCCTCTCAACATGTAACTTGTTCAAGTCCCAGCCCTTCACACGCACAGACCTCTTAAGACCACCCATCCCCATTTGCTACTGTGCTCTCTGTCTTTCGACACAGTCAGTTCTTGAAAGCCTGTTCACTCTTCCTCACCTCCCTAAAGCTGTTCTCGCTGAGGATATGCACTTCCTTGTTGTCAGAGCCAGGGGACACTTTGCAGTCCTTATCTTCCTTGATATACTGGTGGGTGTCACAGCGATGGCCACTTGGCCCATGTGAAACTCCTCTTTCATTGGCCCTGTGACTCCACATGGGTCCCTCCACTGCCTCTTGTGAAGGTCACTCTTCTCGTCCTCATCCCATCAATGCCGGTTTCTCTCAAGCCCTGCTTTTATTCGCTTGATGGAACCCCTGGTTACCTTACTCACATCCGTGCATGTTGTAACCCACACCAGAGCTTTGTCTTTCAGATTTCTTTGGAATTTCAGACCATTTGTCCACCTGCCTACTAAAAAATCATGGGCTTCCCAGGTGGCTCAGTGGTAAAGAATCCTCCTGCCAATGCAGGAGATGCGGGTTTGATCCCTGCATCTGGAAGATGCCCTGGAGAAGGAAATGGCAAGCCACTCCCGTATTCTTGGCTGGAAAATCCCATGGACAGAGGAGCCTGGCAGGCTACACTCCATGGGACTGCAGAGTCAGACACAATATAGTGATTGGGCACACACACTACTAGAAATCATTGCTTAGTTCTCTTGTCAGTATTTCAAACACTAAATTCATCTTCTCCTCACCCACCCTCCAACCTTCTGCCTGCTCTACTCTATGTACCTCCTTGCCTGGATCGCATCCTTTTGACCTTCATTTACCACAATCAACAAGTCAGGCCAGTTCAAACCACAGACACACACACATCACCCCCCCCCCCCCCCGCCCCCAGTAGCTTTAGAACCTAGCTATCACCCATTCCAGGACACCACTATCTTACCTAGATTACTGCATCAACAGTCTAATCACAAGCCCCTAATACTTCTGATCCTTTCTGATTTTCTCTATTCTGCAGGCAGAGTGATCTTTTTAAAGTGCAAACTCATTCCCCCTACTTAAGATTTTATGTTACATCCCATGCCTTCAAAATAAAGACTGAATATCCTATGAAGCCCTTTGCTCCTCCCTCCCTCCTCCACTTCTCCCCTCCCCCACTGCCATGACAGATGCTTTTCCTCCTTTATAAATGCTATATGCTGCCCATTCCAGACCTCATCCTATTGCAGACCCCAGATAAGCACTCTGCCAGGAATATATTTCCAACCTCACGTCATTCATCTTCCTCCCTGTAGTTCCACTTCTCTTTCTCTGCTGGCGGTACCCAGACTGACTGCCTTTTCTGAGGTCCCTTAGTTAAACCCAACAAACATATGAAAGTCTGCTAAGTGGACCACCCAGTGCCAGCACTGAGTTGTGGGGAGGACTCTGGGGCCCAGAGGCTCAGTGTAAATTTTTTCTTTTAAAGTCTGAGAATATTTGATCTAGAAAATAGCAGACACACACAGATGCCTGGGCATACACATACATGTTTGTGCTTTTAAAGGAAATTAGACACATACAGAAGTGCTTTTTCAACTTGAAGTATTTATCACTATCTCTTCTACATTCCATGCTCATTTCTTCCTCCAAAATAAAATATGGAATCAAAAACTTCAAGTCCCTCTGTGTCCCTCTCACCAAGCTCTACATAGAGCAAACAATGAGATGGAATTAGATGAGCCAAAGAAATAAGCAAATTGATTGGAAAATACACATAGCATTACTCATTCCAGCATGATGTATAGAAGAAAAAAAAAGACAGCTGGAAGTCGAGACCCAGGTTCTATTTCTAAAGATCACATGCACTTGTTTTATAATGCTGGGGAAGTGGCCTAATCTCTCTGGAACACTGATGTAGCATCTTCTCATGAGAGTATTGAATCTTCAGGGTCCTTCTAATGGTATTTGTAAAGCAGGTCCGGGAAGGAACTTCTCAATTCTGATTGAGAGGCATTAAAGAACAGATAGGTACCAGAAGTGAATCTTAGACCACTTTAACTACTTTCAAGTAAAAATAGAAAGTTTTTTCCCCCCATTTTGATTGAAATATACATCACTATAAATTTAAGGTGTATGGCATAATGGTTTGACTAACAAATTTGAAATGGTTTCCATAATGTTAAATTAGCACCTGTCATTTCATATAGATAAAAATTTTTTAAAGCAAAAGTTTTTCTTCCTTTGTGATGAGAACTTTTAGGATTTACTCTCTTAATAGTTTTCATATATATCAAGAAGCAGTGTTAATTACAACCATCATGTTGTACATTACATCCCCAGTACCAGTTTATCTTGTAACTGGAAGTTTGTACCTTTTGGCCACCTAAATGGAAAGATTTTATCATGTCTATTATATCTTAACAGTCACCTATGAGGAGAGCTTATAAATTAAAAATTAAAATTTCATCTTGGGACAAATTTAACTGAAAGGGTGAAAAATCAGGACAAGAATTTTAATTATAAACCTCAGTTTTAATATTTGTGTGTACTTTCTAGCTCTTGAAATTTGTTCCCGAAAAAAGTGATATTGACCTGTTGGAGGAACATAAACATGAACTGGATCGGATGGCCAAGGCTGACAGATTCCTATTTGAGATGAGCAGGTAAGTTTGAAAATGTTTCGAAAGCAAAGATGCCCCTGGCCTTTCTAAGGAAGTGAAACTTTTGATTCCTGTTGAATTATCTGGGCCAATTAACCTGGCTTAACTTGAAGTCTTTTTAAATCCACCAAATCTCCTCAAATCTGAGTTGTGTGGAACTTGACTGTTCTGTTTTTGTGCGTTCTTACCCATGGGTAAGCCAGGGTCAGGGTTTCTTCACAATTATCTCTATCTCTGGGCCTCTGACTCATGTACTTTGATCTAATCAAGTTAACTTTTCCTGGTTCCAGTCAGCGTCATTCTTCTCACCACTTTGATCTCTTGGGATTCTAGCTCACACCTCCTTGTACTTCAACATCTCAAGGTTGTTGTAAAATAGAAAACAGTGGACAGAGTCAGAGGTAACAGCCTGGAGCCCACATAACTAAATAACCAGGGCCTAGATGTCAAATCATGACACTTGCAGACATCACTAATCAATCATGGCACTCTTCCCACGGAGCCTTGGCAAGCTTTCTCAGCCCTTCTCCAGAAAGCCCCACGGCAGCCTCTGCTCCATAATTGAATTTGGCATGTGAGCTGAGTCGATTTGCCATCCCAGGCCTAGCGAATTGATTCTGCACTAGGCAAGGACCAGTGGTCCTGAAACTCTCAGTCAACCTCAGGACAGAGCGCCTCCCCTGAGTGCCAATGGCCTACGTGGTGGCCAAGGTAATTATGCCTCTCTCTCTGCATTTCTGCTGTGTCTGAACTTATTTTTGTTTCATCTCAACTTGCCACTTCATATACTACTGTAGAATAAAGGATGGTTTTGAAATTTTGACAGGTGTGCATTTGTCCCTTCGTGTGGACAAATACACGACCACAGTAGCTGCCCCTTAGTAACTGCCTGGGTCTTTGCATGCATCTTAATCCTTCTATCAGCACTGCCAGGAGGGCTGTCAGGCAGGGAGATATTTTCTGCCAGCTAATGGAGGAGTTAAGATTCCTGCTCAAGGTCACTGAATAAGAACAGAACCTGGGCTGCATCTGTCTGATTATATGGCGTAGTTTGGGATGAGGGCTGATCCCCGGTCCTCCTGAGCTGAAGTTTCCACTGAAGAGCAGATCAAGCAGTGATTTCAGAAGGTCTGGCAGAAGTGCCCACTCTCACCCACTCAGAAACACCAGGCAGCCTGTCTTGGTGGTGGTCGGAGGCCAGCGCCCTGTTACCTCTAGGTGCTAGTTGCTCTCCTGGAAGGCAGAGCTTTCCAGGTCTGAGGGGCCCAGATAGGGAGCCAGCTGTGAAGAAAGAGGAAGGTTTGGGGACATGAGTGGGGAGAGACGGCGTAAGGAAAGAAACCTGGAGACAAGTTTTACCCTACAGTTCTGCCAAAGGCACATTTGTGGAAAGTGAGGCGGCACAGGAGGGGGGCAAGCAACCGCCTCTTATTTGCAGCGGAAGAGGGGGGTCTTTACGTTTTCATTCCTTTTTGTTGCTTTTCTGTTCTTAAGAGCTGCTGGGAGTCTGAAGAAGAGAAAGGGCTTCAGTCAACAGCAGTTAGCTCCCAGTTTCTTTTAGCAGCTGACTGGAGCTGAGGACCTGCTGCCCTTGCCGGAACATGGCCTGTAGGGCAGTGGGAAGTGGGTTCTGCAGGCATAGTTGGGCTCAGGCCCTGTGCTTCTGTCCAGGAGAGGAACTCTCTGTGGGGAGGGGGGAGAAGAAGGGGGAAAGGCAGCACAGGTGCTCCAAGGTGCTGTCACCTTTGAGGGAACATAGGTGTACTAAGTGTTCATTAGTTGATGCTTGCTTTTGCAGAATTAATCATTATCAACAAAGACTGCAGTCGCTGTACTTCAAAAAGAAGTTTGCAGAGCGTGTAGCTGAAGTGAAACCCAAAGTAGAAGGTAAAGTCAAGTCCCTCAGAATGGAAATGCTGTTCATCCCAAGTGCTCATGTACAAGTGCAATGCAAGTGCATATAGTCAATAGGACCCCTTTGGTGATTTTTTTTTTCCTTGAAATCTGTTGGAATTCTGGCAGATAATTACTTTAGGTCTGCACTCCCCTTGCTGTCCTAGCCTGAGTCCTGGAGCTCACACACAACCCCTGGGCTTTTGCTATCTGGGTGTTGGTGAGGAATTTGATTGCTACTAACACCAAACCTACAGTTAGCTTTCTTGCAATGGGGCCTTACTGGATTTTTCTAAAGGAAGATTTGAGGCTGGTAGGTGGTTTGATTTTGAAGCTATTCGATTTTTAGCTGTTTGAAATGTGGGCAACTGAAGAGCACAGCACAGAGTGCAGGCTGGCCCTGGAGCCCTGGTGACACCTGCCCTCTGTGACATGTCACACGTTTGCCCAGTTTTTCTACTGGTGAAATTGATCAATGGTCCTGTGATCTGACTCACACCAGGCAAAAAAGGGTTTGCAAAGGAATGTGGAAAATGCAGTCAATGCTCTATGTATTCCTAACTGCTTATGGTTGGTGAGTCAACCACGAAAAAGAAAGGCTGGGGTTGTGCAGCTGCCTCTGGGTCTCTTGAACAACCTGAGCTGACCCTCCTGGCCCCCTCGTGTCTTGCTTCTGGTATAGGTGTTCAGAAAGTGCTCCCAGATAATCTAATGACCCCATCTTACATCTTTGGTATCTGTTATTGGGTGTGTGGATTTAGGATGAGTATCACTGAAAAGTCTTGGTTGTAATAGTTTCGTGTATTCTTGTTTTTAAGCAATTCGTTCTGGCTCAGAAGAGGTGTTTAGGAGTGGTGCCCTGAAGCAGCTGCTGGAAGTGGTTTTGGCATTTGGAAATTACATGAATAAAGGCCAGAGAGGCAATGCGTATGGATTCAAGATATCCAGCCTAAATAAGATTGCCGACACCAAATCCAGTATTGACAAGTAAGTATGGAGGACGTGAATACTTAAGTTGGGGCTCAGCTTTGCACCTCTGGGCCTCCTGACACTCAAGTGTCTGGTCTGCACTTCTCCTTCTCGTCCTCCTCCGACACTGATCCTCTCTTAACTCAGGACCACGCGAATCCCAAGTTCCAACTGGGCCAGTTATCCTTCACTTTCATTCCACAAGGATAGCATCTAGTCCAAGTTTTTGTGTTTGGGGTTTTCTCAGGTAAACATTTTGTATCATGTAATACGTGAAAGGCAAGTTCACACACCAGAAATATACAGCTAGATGAGTTTTCACAAATTGAACACATCTGTATAAGTAATGCTCAGATCGAAAAACAGAACATTAACAGCATCCTAATAGTCTTCTCGTGACCTCTCCTAATTGCTACTCCTCCACAAAGATAAACTAACAGCTGAGGCTAGGATGTGAGGCTTGCTGGTTTTTTAGATTGTGTTTTCCTTGGTACCTGGAAGCGAGCACCTGTATGCAAAGATGAGTGTATACATGCGTTCTGGCTGTTGATGTTCAGCTGCTCACCCCAAGACTCATTAAAATGCTTCCTAGAAAGTGTGTTTTAGGTAAACAAATTTTTGTTAGAGACGCCAGGATATGATAATGGACTGGTGTCATTTACTGGCAAGGGCATTAGGCATATTAACTCTAGCTTCTCTGAGAACTGTGGTTCTCTAAGGTTCTCACCGTCTTGGAAGGAATTTGTTTCTAAGGTAAACTTCTCTGTAACCTGAATTCTTTTTAGAAATATGGCTGTTCACCCTAATTATTCCCAACCAGTGAGCTTTTTACTCTGTATTTTCTATAGGATTAGTGAAGCATAGCATAATGGCAACCTTGAATCCATCCTATAAGAAATAAGCAGTGTGTTTAGTTGTAAAGCTAAGCCTTATTTTTGCATTGTGTAGAAATAGATTAACAAAGGGCAGCTGATATATTCTCTCACCACCACCTTATTTTTCATGGAAGCACTTGATCCTTTCAGAGCCCTTTCACATCTGGTTGTCACAACAGCCTGTGAAGTCCCCAGGCCAAGTGCTGTATTGCCTGTTGTCAGATAAAGAAAGGCAGGGTCAGGGGTCTCATTTAGCTTGTCTGAGGTCACAGCCAGCAAGGTGTTTGGCCTTACAGGTATTTGACAACTGTTCTGGTGGTCTGCCCACAGCTTTCCTCTACCAACAGGCAGATCTTATTTGAAGGTTGTAGTAGGTAACTGCAGCATCTTACTTACATATATGAAGAGCAGCCATCTTTTAAAGAAGGGAGTTCTCTTTCCCTGGGCTTAAAGGTTGGGGCAGAAGAAAACCCTCACCACCAGTCAGTCTTATCCTCCCTCCAGCCCCCACTCCACACACAGGTGTGTGCACACATAACATGCCCTTAATACCCTTTGCACCCCACCCTTCCAACTTACTGATAACCTGGCACTTACTACATGATTATCTATTAGTTAATATAAAAATTTCTCCAGTACACAATTAGCCTTTTCAAAACATTAAAAAACAAAACCATTTCTGATCTTTTTCTTTTTCCTCTTCACTCTGCATTATATAGGCTTGTTTATGGTAATGACCAGAGAATAATCCAATGTGAGATGTTTAGTTATTGTTTTTATTATTCAAGAATTTCTATTCATTCAAACCAGGTGTTATTTGGATAACAAATATAGAAACTCTGATCTAGTTTTAAGTCTTTCTCCACACAAACCAAAAAAGGTATATATGATTAATTAAATACATTTATTTCTCTGAAATAATGAAGGAAAACAGCATTAGTCTTTCTCATGATGGGCTCTGGAATTTGCCCCTCATGCAACCAGCACATGGCAGACACATAGATTCTGTGAATGGCAAAATTGAAATGGAACAATACAGCTGAACATCTGCAAAATAAGTGACCAGAACTATTAGCTACTGTTTTACTTTGCTGAACAATGGCCCTCTAATTATTGAAAGCAAGAAAAATAAGGGGAAATTTTTTTCCATGTGAGCCAGTTATCTCAGAGGAATAGGATTGCATTGACTTCTAGGAAGCTACAAGGGTAACCAGAAATGGTTTGCATTGATATGGAAAAAAATTGTTTGTCAACTTCGCTTCACTTTAGTTGCTGGGGAGACTGTGTGACTTAGCCTTGTGAATTACCGAACTGCCTAAAAATTATGGAATTGTTTTTAAGCAATGTATTTGTGTCCTCCTAATTATGGTAACTTTCAACAGACTGAGTGGTTCTTGATAGTGGGAAGTTTTTAAAATTACTCAGCCTGGCTCCCACTTCATTCCAACTGATGAATCCCAGGTTGACCCAGGCATCTGGGGTTCACGTGATTGTAGTGTGCATTGGAGTCAGGGACAAGGGGACCAGACTCCTACCGCGTGGCCTCATGGATACAGTTATCAGATGCCTGCCTTTTCAGCCCAGGTCAGTCAGGGTTCAGCCCTGTCAACACTGAAGAGGGAGCCAGTTATGCAGTTAGGAGCTGAAATGTTGCTAAAATTAGGCTGCGAGGATATACCCATGATGGCACAATCCTGCCCCAGTTCCAGGCCCTGCCCTGAAATGGGGGCGGCTTCCTAACTTTCCAGCCACCCTTTGCTACAGCAGCAAAACAGATGAGGTCAGAGGGGGGAAGAGAAAAACAAATGAGTCAAAAGGGGAAAATGTTATCCCCCAGACCAAAGAAACCTTAAATGAGAATCCTTGGTAATTCCCATCAGTGGGTCACTGCTCTGTACGTCCTCTTTCGTGCATTAGATAGACATCCGTCACTCCCCACCCCACCCTGCTTTGTCCTGGACTGGCAGGGCAGGCCTCGTCCTTGGGTGGGTGCACTGTGAAGGGATGTCCCCATTGGCATTGGTTCAGACTCATTTTCATCACTCATCGCATTACCCAGATTTGGAAGGGTCCTCATTACAGGCCAAAAATGTAATTCTCATCCCCTGCCCTTCTGTTTCAGAAGATGCATGCTTCTTTTGACATCTATTTATGTAAATCCCATGAAGACTCTCCTCTTATCCTGTCTCTTGAGAATTCCTGCTTTACAGGAACCTCCAAATTTTAAAAGTATTGTAGGAATATAGCTTTCTTTTGGAATCAGACACTTGAATATGCAAATCATATGCCAATATCAACCATGTTTAATACTCTCTCCTCTAACTGTAGGAACATTACACTTTTGCACTATCTCATCACTATTGTGGAAAATAAATACCCCAAGGTTCTCAATCTAAATGAGGAGCTGCGGGACATTCCTCAAGCAGCAAAAGTAAAGTAAGTACTAACAGTGAATCGTTTCAGCTTTTCAAATCCCTTGTCTGTGCTTTAGCCATTGAGATAGTTAGTGTTACCTTAAGAGAGTCCTTCTGTCTTGCTTTCCCCTGAATACTATATGAAGTAGTTTGAATCATTTCCAAGTCACCCAGATGTATTACATAATTTTGAATATATGATTAACTCTTGAAGAAGGGAGTTAAGGGTGCCAACACACTCCCTAACTCCCACTGCACAGTTTGAAAACCCAACATGTAACTTTATAGTTGACCCTTCCTATATGAGTTCCTCCATATCCATGGTTCCACATCTGAGGAATCAGTCAGCCACAAATCACTTAGTCCATAATTACTGGGGAAAAATTGTGTATAAGTGACCCTCACAGTTCACACCTGTGTTGTTCAAGGTATTGTTGAACATATTCTGTGAGCATATGTTGTGTATACTTGTTCTAGCTGTTTTGGAATACTCCTGGATAGAATTTTTAACTTCTGCAAAACCTAGTTTTCTGAGTTATGAAGATAGAAGGAAGAAATGTGGTTTCACTAGTAGTTGGAAGGGGTGGTTCTCTTAAAATACAGGTGGGAGCACCCTTAGTTAAATGAGGATATGAGGATATGTCGTTAAGCAAATAGAAGTGCTGCAGGTCAGGGCGTTGCTAGTATCAATTTTCCCAGGTGCATACACTCCCAGAAACCAAGCAGCCTTTTAATGGAAGACAGTCTTTATGCAAATGAAGGAATACAAATAAAGTAGAAAGTCGCCAAGTTTTCCCCATAAACTTCACACCACTTTTCAGAGACCTCGTGAGGGGCAGGCACTTTTCCTTGCTGCACCTCCTATTGCACCCAGCTCCCCTCCCCCCGCTTTAAAAAAGAAATACTTTAAACCGCATCTTTTTGCAGTCATTTTGAAAAATCTGATGAGCAGCCTAATTTTTTTCCTCTGTAGAGTTTGGGAGAAATGTACCATGATGTAAGACATGAAATTAAAATGTGAAGGTAAATGAAGTATTGGTGAATTTGTTTACATGTAAATTCTCTGTGAGAATGGTTATAATCTCTAATGTTTAAAGCCATCAAATAAAAAGCATTATGAGAAAAGTCTAGGAAACCTTGTTTTAGAAAAAAGTCAACAAAAATGAAAACTAGTTAGTGAAACTTTAAGAAAAATCATTTTTGATTGAAATGTAGCTATCACCTTGTAATAGTCATACTGTCAGTGAAAGTGAAAGTCGCTCAGTATTGTCTGACTCTTTGCAACCCCATGGACTATAGAGTCCATGGAATTCTCCAGGCCAGAATACTGGAGTGGGTAGTCTTTCCCTTCTCCAGGAGATCTTCCCAACCCAGGGATCAAACCCAGGTCTCCCGCCTTGCAGGCAGATTCTTTACCAGCTGAGCCACATGGGAAGCGCTCATACTATCAGAGTTTTCGTGAAAAGCAATACAGTAATGATGAGCACAGCACATACATGATTGTGCCTCAGCTCTTTCTTTCCCTTGTCCAAAGGAAGTCACACATGGCAAGAAATTTATTTCTACCTACAGTAATTTGCTTAAGTGAAATTTTTGTGAGATTAAAACATGTCATATTTCTATTTTGTCCTTTTTAATCAATATACATATATGTATGTGTATTTATATACATATATATATCTCTCTCTCATACCTGCTGGCTATGGAAAACAAGAAACATAATCCCATACCTAAATTTCATAAGTTTAAAATGTTGCTGCCTTTCTGTGAGCAACAGCCTTTCTGAATGCTGAAGGGAATTTTAAGCATTTAAAATGAATTTTAAAATTTTTAAACAATATAGTGTGGATGACCAAGAATGAAGTATTTAAACTCATCATACATTTAATGCACAAGTATAAATCCCATGTTAGTTACTAAAATGCTGCCATTTACAACAGCATGACTGAGCTGGACAAAGAAATAAGCACATTGCGAAGTGGCCTGAAAGCAGTAGAAATGGTGAGTATCTGTTTCTTGTTCTAATTCCCAGTCTCCTCACTACTGTGTCCAGCGGAGGAGTTGCCAGTTGCCTTGGCATGCTTGGGATAAACATTTACTATTAAAAATAAAATGCAAAAACAGAGAAGCAAAGGCAGACTGTGTTTAGCCTGGCAACACAGCAGCAGACATCACGGGACCTGGGACACTGGACCCAGAGTTCTACCACTTTCCTATCTGTGATGCAGGACTGTGACCGTGGACTGGGCTAGAGACTCTTCAAGGCCTCCTCAGTGTTCTGTTCTCGTGATAAATGTTCCCTCTCAGTAGAGCAATGGGACTTCTCTGTTGTCTTTGCGTTGGCCCTTTGGGGAGTATGCATTGAGCACTTTGAGGGTACAGTCCATTCTTAAGGTGAGGGGATCACGATGACTCAGAATGCTTGCCCTCTGCATGTTACAGTGGCCAGGAGCGGTCCGTCCAGTTCACCTCCTGTAAAGTGATGACAAAGGTGCCTTTTGAAGGAAGGTGGTGATTTAGGCTAGCTTGGGCCTTAGGGAATATCTGGTGTGTGTGAGAGGAAGTATCTCTTCTAGATGAGATGAATTTTGAGCTGTGGCTTAGAAGGAGGGTAGAGTGAGCTTAGGCACAGAGGAGGGAAGCCATCCCAAGTCTATGAGATGACCTGAGTCCGGGCTTCACGGAAGGAAAGCAGGTCAGCGTGCTGGAGGAAGAGGAGCCAGTGGCCTTAACCCTGACTTGAGGGCACAGCGCCTCATGGGTAACACAAGGGGGCTGTCACTAAGATGGAGACAGATTAGGGTGGAAGCCTCGCTCCCAAGAGCAGATAGGGCTCTGGCCTGGCCCTTGGTGCAGGAGGCTGGTTTATAGGCAGCTCAGGAAGGTGCCCCACAGATCAGCTTACGGGTAACACCAAAAGGCCCCTCCTCCTGCTTGTAAAACTGCCAGAGAAAGTAGTTGGCATCATTAAAGAAGCTCTAATACAAATTCAAGTCACAATGCTAATCTTTTCTGTTTTTGATAAATTAAGGAGGATGTGAGGTTTTCTTTTTTTTCCTTTTTTGGGGGAGGGAGAAGAAAGACATGGGGGGGTAGGTCACTGTTTAAAAAGTGCAAGAGATGAACTGAGTGCACCATTTTCCCCAGCCCCTATGGCTGGGCGACTATGAAGGAGCATGGCGCATGGTCCTCGGCTTTCAGAGGCCACACAGGGACAAAGCTTGTTTTATAGCCTTCACTTTGTTGCATTTCCTCCCAGTGGAAAGCTTTCTTGAGACTAGCATGGCAGCTATGACAGCCCTAAAGTCTGATAATGGATGCTCTGACCCCTGCATCCGAGCTAGTTCAGAACAAGGCATAAGAGAGAGGTCCGGAGGAAGTTGTAGGTTTGACGGATGTATTAAAGGTCATTTTGCTGAAATCTCTCTAGCCCCTGGGTCATGTAGACTGTAACACACTCTTCATAGGAAAGGACCTACAGCAGCTTCCTCCTATCCCTGGCAGCTTAAATGTTAAGAGGGAGGAAATATTGGGGGGCAGACTTTAACCTGTCCAAATATTCGTGTGTCCCAACTGTGCTTTGCACAAATCAGTCGTACTGTTGGAAAGGTATCAATGGTGGACTTCTCATGAAATTATGCATTCATGAAACACTTTAAAATTGCTTTCACATCTCTGTACCTCACATATATACTCCCTTTCCAGCCCAAGTACTAGAATTGTAGCAATTTCTTTTAATCAGAGCAAGTTCCATAAAAGTTTCCACTTTTATTTCACTTGATTCCCCTGGTAATATGTATATTGCCCTCCTTTTGTGAGTGAAGAAACTAAGACCCAGGCTACTTGCCATAGATAAAAATAAAGTCAGTGGTTGAGCTGAATCGACCCCTAGCCTGTGACCTCTACTCTCCTGCTTGTTAGACTCTCTGCCATAGCAGGTATGGAAGAAAATAGAGATCCAAAGTAAGTCAATAGATATACAGAAAAATTGTTACTGAGACCCTGGAGTTAGAGATTGAGTTCAAATTTTGGCTGTATCACTTATGGACTTCTTGACTTTGAGCAAAGAATCCCTCTGTACCTTAATTTATGTGTCAATACAATTGGCATAATTGCACACTCATAGAGGTTTTGTCGGATGAAATAGGAAAATGCATCTGGCAATGGTTAAAGTTATTATTGAAATGAAATTTGAATAATCTGTGTTCATCACATGGTAATGGAGAGGATAGCTAATTAACACAAGACTAATACCTCTACCTGCCTGTTCACAAAACCCAAATGGTATGGATGAGAAGAAAAATGGCATTATGGTGCCAAACGCTACAGCTGAAATTCTACTGACCTAGATGTCAAAGCTTAGGAAATAAGTAGACTTGGCAGATACAGAAAAAAAGGGAAAAAACCAAGACACCAAAGTTCTGAGCACAGAATATCTAACAAATTTTCTTGCTTTTAGTCACAAACCCTTTTAATCCAACTTGCTCTCCATTATTTAACTTATATTAATTTTATCCAGATGTTAATCTGCTTACATTCTAAAGCCAGTATACAAAAACCACACCAATAAAGTACTCAGATGACTGGTTAAATTGCATTTTGCAAATGTGTTTGCACACATGGGGGCATGACTCTGGCAGGGTGGGCAGAAGCAGAGCAGGACACGAACTATCATAAGATGTTTCTACAGTAGTTTTGATGTGTTTGCCATTCTGACATATTAAATTTGAGGCATAAGGAAAATGCATGCATCTGCATCTGAAGCCTGCGTTGACACTATCCATCCCCTGTGTTTAAGGAGCTGGAATATCAGAAGTCTCAGCCCTCACAGCCAGGAGATAAGTTTGTGTCTGTTGTCAGTCAATTCATCACTGTAGCCAGCTTCAGCTTCTCTGACGTTGAAGATCTTCTAGCAGAAGCTAAAGACTTGGTAAGTTTTCCCTTGCACTCTGAGTATTGCTTGACAGGGCTGGTAACTTTCAGGTATTACAATTACTCTTTCATTTCTAGGACTGTGATCAATTGAAACACACACTTTCTAACTGGCCTATGTTTCTTTAGGTTAGTAAGACCTTGGAGTATCTGAATGGTGTTAAACCAGTGAATACTGTGACAGCTTTTTATTGGTTATTATTGGGCCAAGGCCTTGTGCTTCAGAAACGTGTAACATGCTCTCCTTACAAGAGCAGATAAGAGACTTAGGAGAACAGGGTGTTCCCTCTTTAAATCTCTACTTCTAGAGATTTAAACTTACTAAATGATAGGCACTTTAATTCACAGCCTCGTCACAAAAGGTATAAATAGGACTTTTAAAATGAATTTTGCTATTACAAAATCTTGTTTTCCTGTAAAGGAAAAGTTTTCATTGACAAATACCCAACACCTTAAAATCCCACTACCCTATCTCACAGTGTCTCTCTGGTTACTTCCTTTTCCAGAATTCACACACATTCATATTCACGTGCACATTTCTCTCATCCTCTTCTTGTTAATAAATGGCAGCAAGCAGCCACCCAGCCGCCCTGTTGAGTTCGTCCATGGTGCCCATTTTTCAGCTGTGACAACACTCTTTGCTCGAACTTGACTCTTGCCCTTGAAACTTGAGTAATGAGTCTCATTTTTCTGTGGTCCCCTATTCAGTTGTAGATGTGGATGATTTTGTATGTAAGTGTACACACACTGGTTAAAGTTCAGAAGCAGACTGTGTTAAGATACACTGGCTCATTTCAGCATGAAACCCCACCTCCTGATACCTCTGACTGAAACCAGTGAACTGGTGTTAGCCGCCTGCACTGAGATGGCCCCCACCCCAAACCAGCCAGTACCTACTTCATCAAGGGCGCAGACATTTTCCTAAGAATCCAGTGAATAGTTAATTTTTTATTTACACACACCCTACTTTTTTTAAAATGTTAGTGTGGGAACTTTAGTCTGGGACTAGTTTTCTTCAGATTTCCAAGACCAAAATATACATGACTTCATCATCACTAGAATTCCTAGATAAAAAGATCATTCAGGATGGCTTGAAGTGCATGAACTTGAATGCTTTCGAAACGCAATTGTAGGCTATCTATTGCTGTTTTGTTCATACCAGAACTTTTAGAAATTAGCTTATAAAAATCATGGAGCAAACTAAAGCACTGTGTGTGGTGTGTGAAGAATGTTGTATTTTTCTCTAAAGAGCTTAGTTTCTAATACAGTAGCTCCAAATAAGTAAAAGATCAAGGATGCCTTAGTGAAAAGTGATTAAAGAATATTATTATAAATTTAAAGATATGAAATATATGTATAATTGAGAACTGTCTTAATAAGTGTTGAAAATATTTCCTTTACGTAGATAATATTGCCAAAACATCAGAGAAACTTAATATATTAAAGGCAAGCAATGCAAAAAAAAAATAAAAGCAATTAGACTGTGAAGTATTTATGTAGTCCTCCCCAACCTAAGAGCTTCTAACTATGAAGAAAATGAAAGAGCTGGAAATTTTTAAGTAGTTGATAAGGCATAAGGAGTGAGAATTCATTTGACCTTGAAGCTTGAAACACCATCCTTTGTAGCTTAGGCCTAATAGCATGAGATCCTTACAGAAGGAGGTACAGTTCTTAAAAACAACAATACTGGCATTGAACAGTATTTGGATGGCCAAAGTAACGCTAAGACACTTGAAAGTGTACTATCTTAAATTATGAAGATAAGTGCCAAAAAGAGCTAAAAATGGAATGTTAAAGACTGGCTGAGCTGTTTCATTATTGTATATATTTTTTCATTTAATTTTTTAAAATTATACCTTAATATTTTGCATTTTAGCTGTTTCTAAAAGATTTGCCTTGAAGGGGGCACTAAAACAAAGGTTTTGGAATAAAATTGTATTCTCAGTCATGAATTTTGGGTTGCCTTAATGATTCCGTAGTCGGTGATTGTTTTCTAATTGAGGCCCAGGAAATAGAGTAATACCAGCATTATTTATGATTAGGAAAAGCAGCTGATTTTGATATTAACCATATGGCACCAATAAATGATATTAAACTACTTCAAAGAAAAGTTAATGGGCTAAGTTTCCTTACCCCTGCTGAGTTTTCTATTAGTTTTATACCCCAAGCACTCTGTCCTCTGGTATTCTGCTTTCTTGTTTTTTACTACTGTTTAGTTAATAAGAAGTCATAGGATGTAATCATAGATGTTAAGCTGAAATGAGGTGAACAGGAATAAATGGTTTCCCAAAATGGTGGAGTATTAAATTTTTTCCTTTAGAAACGATTAGATATGTTTAGCAGCCAAAGGTAAATCCAGCGAGTTATATTTGACTCAACTGGAGCTTCAGCCCCTTAAGAGAGGACGATATTTATGTGATCATGGTGTTCTCTTGAAACACTGAACTTCTTAAAACCTTCTTTTTCCCAGTTCACTAAAGCAGTGAAACACTTTGGGGAAGAGGCTGGAAAAATACAACCGGATGAGTTCTTTGGCATTTTTGATCAGTTTCTTCAGGCTGTGTCAGAAGCCAAACAAGAGAATGAAAACATGAGAAAGAAGAAGGAGGAGGAGGAGCGCCGAGCTCGCATGGAGGCTCAGGTAAGAGGGCAGGTGATGGGCCAGTCCCACCTCCTGGAAGTTCTCCTGCTACATCTCCTTGGTTTTTAGGAAGCACTCCAATGTGTTGGCAAGGAGGAGGGCATCAAGCCCTCTCTAGAATGCTACTGGAGTTTATAGTCAGTAGAAAGTTTCTCTTCAGCAATGTGACAGTCTATACCCAAAGCCTAAAAAACTATATTCACGTCCTTTGATCTGGAGTTCCACTTCTTAGAAGTCTTTCTAAGGAAATAATTCTACATTTCCACAAAGAGAACAGCACTCGTTATAATAAAGCCCTAACCTGGGACAACCTAAATGTTTACCAACTGGGCACTGGTTCTAAATGATGTTCAGTTCAGTATGGTTCAGTCACTCAGTCGTGTCTGACTTTTTGTGACCCCATGGACTGCAGCACTGCAGGCTTCCCTGTCCATCACCAACTCCCAGAGCTTACACAAACTTGCGTCCATTGAGTCGGTGATACCATCCACCCATCTCATCCTCTGTTGTTCCCTTCTCTTGCCTTCAATCTGTCCCAGCATCAGGGTCTTTTCAAATGAATCAGTTTTTCACATCAGGTGGCCAAAGTATTGGAGTTTCAGCTTCAGCATCAGTCCTTCCAATGAATATTCAGGACTGATTTCCTTTAGGATGGACTGGTTGGATCTCCTCACAGTCCAAGGGACTCTCATGAATCTGATCCAACACCACAGTTCAAAAGGATCAATTCTTTGGCACTCAGCTTTCTTTATAGTCCAACTCTTACATCCATACATGACTACTGGAAAAACCAAAGCTTTGACTAAACAGACCTTTGTTGGCAAAGTAATCTAAATGATGTAATAGCTACATAATGGACTATTTATGCAGTCCTCAAAAGTCATGTCTGTCTTATATGAGAAAGCTTACAGAATGGTTTCCATATGAAATATTTTTGTGTAAGGTAAGTGTTGATAGTGGTGACATATACCCCCAGAAGGTTCATAATGGTTATTTCTTGGTAGAATTAAGGATTATTTCCCCCTTTTTATCTGAATATGTACATTTTATATAATATATGCATATTATTTGGATCTTAATAATTGTAACTCTTGCATAGTGGGTTCCAGGCATCCACGATAGGCTAATAAGCCTGTGATGTCAGGAATGTGGCCTGATGAGCATTTGCTTTCGTCTGTCTATACCATCAAAGAAACCAATATTTTTAATTAGAATATCATGAGGTTTGCCCAGATTCTAGACAGTGGGAGTCTAATTACAAAGTGGTGGTCATTTTTTTTGTTGCTCCTTGTTTCTACAATAAGCCCCCTCACATAGCAGTCACCCACTGTGACAGCCAAGGGATTGGCAGCTGTTGACAAACATGGCATGACTGAAGCACTGCCATATCCAGTGTTCGTCTCCACTGAATACAAAATACAATATTGTCTTGACACTTCTCTAAAACGGTTGCTTTCCATTTGCAGCTCAAAGAACAACGTGAAAGGGAACGGAAAATGAGGAAAGCAAAAGAGAACAGTGAAGAAGGCGGAGAGTTTGATGACCTGGTTTCCGCTTTACGCTCAGGAGAAGTGTTTGACAAAGACCTTTCCAAACTGAAGCGGAATCGCAAGCGCATCACCAACCAGATGACAGACAGCAGCCGGGAGAGACCGGTCACAAAACTTAACTTCTAATTTCCCTTGAATACTTTTTTAGAAAGCTCATTAGCAGCCCTTTGAAGTGACTAGAACTTTTTATTACACTGCCTTGCAATCCAAACAGTGGCAATTTCTCCTTTCATCTGTGAGTGAATGTGTGAACATGTGTGTATGTAAATGTATGTGTGTGTATATATTAAGAAATGTATATAGAAGTCTGAGTGTTGTCTGGAGACCTATATGTTTGGTTAAAAAAGAAAAAAAACTCTATGTCTATGTATGTGCTCAGAACCCCTTTGTGTATGCATTCATATTGAGTGGCTCATCTTCTTCCCCCAAACACCATGACTGTTCAGAAGCACAATACTGTCTCCTGAAAGAGGTATGGAGACATTCCCTAGACTAAAGAGAAAAACAAAAAGTAAATATAGCTTGAGAAATATTTTATGGTTTCCAAGCTTGATATACTTTGCAATTATTTTCATTGGTGAAACTGGTGTTGAAAAAATATAGATTTCAAATGGTTTTTGATAGTTGACAAGTACGATGCTGGTGCATTGCATCAGTAATTGACAGGACCAGCTTAGAATTTCTGACGTTGGTGTGGGGATGCAGTCTGTAAATGTTTATGGAGAACATCTTGCGCACAATCTGAATTTTGTAGAATGTCAATCAGAGTTCTTTTATATGTGTAAAACCTGGACATCAGTTTCCCTCCCTAATTTCATCGAGTTCTCTGCCAAGCACTCATGATGATTTCTTTACATTGCTTTTGGAAAGAACACTATTTATCTAAATGCAATCCATGCTCTTGTTAAAGAACAAAATTACCATAATGTGCTTGTTTTCCTAACAGTTTAGAACTATAAACTTTCAAATTTCCCACCCAAGACCTAAAAGAAAGAATTCTCTGAAAGGATAAAAATGATGTTGAAAAAAATTTTGTGGGGTGCCTTTTTTTTTTTTTTGGTATTTTCTGTTCTGTAGGACAAGCTGCATCTTCTGTAAATATGTTTCTGAACTAAAGAACACTTAGTAAATGCACAAAATGTCACCACCACCAACAGAGATGCCAAGATCTATTTATCTCTAAGTATGTTTGAAGTGGTTTGCTGTTTATATGTTGTCATTTTAAATTGTGTGTCAGTAACGCTACCTGTAAAATTTCAGTCCAAAAGATAAAGCTCTCAGGGAGAAATGAATAAAAACAATGAACATTAGAAAATAAAATATAGATGCTTACCATTAACCTACCAACTCTTAATATCCTTAAATTATATGATATATACAGAGGACTGTTACTTTTTTTTTTTTTGCTTTGCTTTATTTATTTGTCGTAGGGGAGGGGGGGCTAAGGTTCTCTATTTTCTTTCCATCAATCCTGTTGTGGTTGGGTTTCCTGTGGAGAGTAGTTTGTCCTATTGCACTAGAACATTATTTACGCACTAAATTGAGTTTCAGTCAATTAACGAATATTTATTGAAACACCTACTATGTGCCAGGCATTGTAGGGCTACAGTGGTTAGCAAGACAGAGCCCCTGCCCCCGGGGAGCTTATGCTGTAACGGGGACAGTTATGGGGCAAACAGAATACCAGTGTGTGTGCTGTATAGGAATCGTGCTATTTAAAAATAATTTGTATAAACTATAATGCTTAGTGCAGAGGGCAAGGTCTCTGCACTACGTGAAAGCTGTGAAATAGTGCTCTAAGAGTTGGCAAGAGCCGTGGTTTTACGTTCTTCCCCCTCATTGCAAACTTAGCGACTTTCTACACATTACACAGAAGTAAATGACTAGCAAATAAAACAGTCACAAATATATAGCAGACGTCGCGCTCCCCCAGCTCCTAGATATCAAAGTCTGCAAGTATACTGTGTCGAAGATGCAGAGACTTCACTCAAAAAAGCTTGGAGGTGAGGAGAGGTGGGGTACGCTAGTGGGGTTTGTCTATTCCTTAACTAAAGTGCCTCTATATATATTCTTTTCTATTTAGAGCAGGAGAAATTTGATCTGGCTTGAGTTTGGGACTGTCTTTTGAAAATGGCTTTGTTTTACAGTTTAAGGAATGGGCAAGTGGAGGGAGTCACATAAAGGAGCAATTTTGTGTAGCATGTTCCTCTCGCCCTTTGTAATCATCCTCGTTTTGATATGGCCATCCTGGTAGGCCTCCTTTGCCATTTCTGTTTTTCATTTCTTTCCCCGAAAGCTGTGTGCAGGTCATTCCATGTGCCATTGTTGGAAAAAAAGAATAAAAAAAAACACCTACTTTTAGATTGGTGCTGGTGTAAGTAGCCACTTTTCTCTCTTGGGTGTGTATTTTAAAAGTTTTTGTTTGTTTTTTTAAATTAATGCCAAAAAGACAAAGCATTATAATTTGTAAACTTAATTATATGTCTTGTATCTTATTAGTTTAGTAGTTGGAACCACTTAGTCTTTAGGTGCAAGACTGTTGTTACAGTACCAAGAAAAAAATGTTGTATGTGTTACGAGACTGTACATTTTTTTAAATAGCAATATGCAATAAAGAAATGAATTCATTACATGTATGTATATGCTTTCTTTGAGTTATTAAAACAGCAAACTTCTTTGCACTTTCCACCATTAAATTTAAATATTGCAAATCGTTGGTTAATTAGGAATAATATAAACTTATTCATACTGGACCTCGAAAAGCATCGTTTTCTGCTATGGCAGCATTCAACATATCCACAGACCACCAGATACTACCTCTTTCTGAAATTAACCTTTTTGTGTAACTCTGTTTGAGTTAAATAGTTTCATAGTGAAAGTGAACTCCCTCAGTCGTGTCCGACTCTGCGACCCCATGGACTGTAGCCCACCAGGCTCCTCTGTCCATGGGATTTTCCAGGCAAGAATACTGGAGTGGGTTGCCATGCCCTCCTCCAGAGAATCTTCCCCTCCCAGGGATCGAACCTGGGTCTCCTGCATTGCAGGCAGACGCTTTACCGTCTGAACTACTGGTAACATTATTCAACTGGAGGTATACAAAAGAATCTCTAATCTCTAGAATCAGTCTTTTTCATTTTGAAGCATTTCCTTTAAAAAAATTAATTTATGATATTGGTCAATATGGGAAGTGTCACCTGTACAGAAGGAGGAGTGTGCACTCTATCCTCTGAAAACTGGGACTCTCTCTTGGCCCTATGTCACTTTGCCTACCCAGTGTAAATCAAGCTGAAAACAAATTATCCTAGTAGTGGTTGCTTGAGAATTCAAACACTTCTGATCTTGGGAATGGACTCATGATATTCTTATAATTTATCTTTTTATTTAGCTCCTGGATACTGCATAATATCCAAAAGTTTTTTGTTCTTTTGCACTGGCATTCAGATAGGAGAGATCCTTCTCCATGGTAGGGAAATTTAATATTCCTCCCTACAAATGGAATCTACCATTTCTTCTTTACACATTTGAGTGTGGAGCTACATACAGAACCACCTAGACCCTCAGCTTCCCTGGGGTATTGATAGAAACAGGGGAAAACCTGAAACTTTGAGATCACTATGTCTACTTGTATGTCTTCAGTTTCCCCCAGAAAATCATCACTAGGGAAAATGTGCTTCTGTCAGGGGATGAAGCTATTCAAACCCTCCAGGATTCTGCCCTTTCTCTATGACTTAACATGGATAATCTTTAATACACTAGTTTGGACACAATTATTTAATAGATTAAGTTCTGAAAAGGAATTTTCTGTGACTTAAAAAAAAACAACAAAATACCACCTGTTTCTCATCATATGCAAAATGTAAGTTAAGTCCTCCCAAGGTTTAACAGCTACTTGATACCATTTGGTTCCATAAGCACTAGCTTCAGGAACCATTGGACTATGTATGGAGAGACCGAAAGGGTTCTTGCATCAGGGTCCCTCATGAACCATTATGCTGAGTTCAGTGCTCATTTTCTCCGTGATGTCTACATACATTGGTTTATGTCTGTATCCCTGTGCCCTCTATTACTGGGAACTCTGCTGAAGTCTAAAAGCCTTTTGAGTTCATAATTAAGAAATAGCTTAACATCTATAAATTCTGTATCTTGGAGAAAGCTTGGAACCCCTGGAGGAAGGAAATGTATAAGGAGTTTCATGTTTTCCATAGCAAAGACCAGTCCATTACTTTTTATTTGTCTTGTAGGGAAAATATCAGATCTAACCTTTGGCCTCTTCCATGACATGCTTTTGTCCACTGCAATCAGCTGTGTGTTTCCATGGTATCAAACAAACAGCATGAACACGAGATTGTACACTGACAATGGAGATCATTATTTTAATCAAACCTTGGTATGTTTTTGCTTTTTATGGGAAAGAGAAAATTTTCCCATGCCATTTAAATAAAGCATGTGTTCTTTCTGCTTCTCTGCCTCTGGCTTCTTTCATTGGGAGGAAGAAGAAAGGCAACAGTTCTGTATTGATCTTACCATCTCCCACTTAATTTATACCCTTTATGGTCATGTGTGGACATTCCTGTGGCAAAGGAAGCTGCAATCCCATCAATGGTGAGCATCTCTTAGCATCCTTACCCCCATCCTCCCATCTCACTTCCAATGTGAAAATACTTTCCTAAGTCAAGTGAGATTGAGGGGCCACCCTGACTCAGGGATAGGAGGAGTGCCAAGAGAGGAGGTGATTGTGATGCCAAGCAATGACTCAGGAAGACAGGGCAGCAGGGAAAAGGAGGTGTCTACCAGATGCTTAAAGAGAAAAGTTCTGCTCCCTTCAGCAGTACATATACTAAAATAGGAATGATAGAGAGAAGATTATCATGGACCTGTGCAAGGATGATACACAAATTTGTGAAGCGTTTCATATTTTTGGAATCTAATAAAATGGTATAGATGATCTTAGTTGCGAAGCAGAAGTACAGACACAGATGTAGAGAACAAATATGGATACCACGAGGGAAAAGGGGAGGGTGGTGGGATGAACTGAGAGATTTGAGATTGACATATATACATTGCTATGTATAAAAAAGGTAGCTAATGAGAACCTAGTGTATAACACGGGGAACTCTACTCAGCGC